CAAAAGCAATTTCCAGCAGCCGGTGTCAGCAAATAGGCAAAAGCAATAACAATAATAACAACAAAGAGCATTGTACAAAGCAGCCACCAAAAAAAAAAAAACAACAAAAAAGACATTCTCATTCCCATTGCAAATGAGTAAGCAACTCACAGTCGAGTTCGAATTTCGAAATTGGGAGACTTAACAGCTGGAAGAGAGCGCCAATTTGTGGCTGTTAAATGAAATATAACAACAGCTGTTGGCCCCAAGATCGATCTCTCGCTCGCACTTGCTATCTTATTCTCTTGTATGTTCACATCCCCAAATTTTATTTGTATAAAAAACTTTTTTAAACAGTATTTCAATAACATTGTTAAATGGCTATCAAAAGAGAAAATTACACCAACGATCGATGTTTAAAAAAATATCCCCTCTTGCTCTCACTCCGCTCTCTCATTGCTTAACATCTCTGTTAGTAGAATCTCGAATCTGAACATTGCTGTTAGCTAAACCTCGACAACTTCACAGATACTTTTGCGTTTGAATCGACGGGTTCGCGGCTCTCGGTGCGGTTTCCATTTTCCCAAAGATACAAGTACTTCCAAGTGAAATAAAGCAATTACATAAAGTCCAAAGAGTGAAGTGAAAAGTGCGGCGCGAAGTAGCGAATTGCAGTGCGAAAGTTAAGCCAAAGCCAGTTGACAAAAGCGTCACGTTTTCGCTTTCTGCCATTGTATTGCCCACGCACTCACACAAAAGCACACCTGGGCTTGGAATACTTGGAATACCACTATAAAACAAAAAAAAAATCTTAAAAAGCGGCCAATATAAGCAATCCAGAGAATCCGAAGGTTTGTTCTGCCAGATCCACGGGTTTAACAACGCCTATGGTTAGTTTATCATTTCTTTTTTCACTGAGTCTCTATCTTCTCCTCTCTTCTTGTCGCATGAGCCACCCTCAATTCGCCCACTTTTCGCTTTATTTTGAGTCCGGAGGCCTTTCGCCAGATAAGATTCGTTTTCATTGTAGCCCCTAGAAGGAGTGTGCAGCACACTCATGCCCACAACAGAGGTCAAAAAAATATATATTGCCACAAGAGTTGCATTTCTTGTTCCTTTTATTGAACCTATATTTATACTTAAGCAGTTTTGGGAACAATAACTTGCTATTCTTTTGATAATTATAGGTAAAAGTACAAATAGCATAATATAGCTTGAGATAGTATTTAAGTTTATTAATTTTAATAGATCTTTGACTTTTATAAGTATTACAAAAATATCAATATTGCTTACACATTTCCTTTAATGCCTTGCAATACGTACACATGTTTGCTTAAAGTCGTAGACCCCAAACCATTTGCCATTTATTAATAACATCTGGTTGAGCCATTAATTTGACCGAGGCTGTATATGTACAGCAATACATGCATTGAAACACACATATAAGGGCTGGTATGATTTATCAAATATTCTCCGAATTTCTGGCACACTTCGGGGAATATCTAGACAAAGGCAAATATTTGAGTCTGTGAATGATGGGACCCCCAAAACCTTCTTCGTCATACATACACGTTTGATATCATATTTGCCCGCCCCGCTTATCGCCAGAAATATGTTTCCCAAGAAACAGATATGCGTGATATTTGCTTGAATCGACTGGGGAGAGTATGACAAACGGGTGGGTACAAAACGAGTACCGATACCAGACGGGACTACGTGATATTCTCAAGTGTCTGGGCTTTGGATTACGGATGATACCGCCAAAGTAGACGCCCCGCCAAAGAATAACCAAAACCGAAGCCCTTCGATGGATCTCAATTTTCCATCATGTCCAGCAGACCGTTGCGGTTCCAGCGGTTCCATCGGCTCCAGACGCCAGACTCCAATTACCGCAGCTCTGCTAATTAAGTGCCACCCCAGAAGGCGACAGGTTGCAGATCGTTTGGCTTTGGGTTCGGCTTGTCCATATGGGGAAATTATATTACATTATGGCCAAGCACCAAAAGAGTGGTAACCCGAGCCGAAAGCCATTGCGGATAATTCACTCGTGGGACTTTGTTTGTTTTATGCTCTACGCCGCCCCGAAATGCAAACTCAGCTCAATGACTTGGCACTCGTTTGGGGCTGGAGAGCGAGCGTTGGAGATGAAGCCATGCGAAGAGCTAAGCCGAGTCTATAAGTACACGGGAAGAAAATAACACCAAATCAGGCGACTTTTTAATATTCAATAAAAAGCAACAAGAGAACATCTGTTGCATTGCACTGAAATATCTTCAAAATAATACAGCGATAATTTAAAAAACCACATTTTGATATACATTGTTGAAGTGTAGAAAAAACTTTTGTTTTTATATTATTTACCAAAAGCGCTATTGCCACACTTCTTTGAAGTGGCGTGTTTGACCCACAAATATGGCTTCGCGAATTCTTTAGCTGTAGATAATAATTAAATGAATCCTTACTTTAAAACCCCTTGATATTGTCTATAAAAGTATGTTATTACAAAAGTCCTGTCACTTAACTTCTTCAATTGAGAAGCACAGAATATATTTTAAGAGCTAGATAAATACCAAGTTAAAACTCCCTTAATGGAAATAATTTAACTGCCATGGGCTATTTTGTACTTTGGTATACAATTATTTTGAATGACAAGTTGTAATTATGGCTGGTTTTTCTCAGTCTCCAATGATGAGTTTAATATGAGGAGACAGAAAGAGATGCGGTGGCCATGTAAATGGGAATGTGGATGTGAATGTGCATGTGCATGTGAATGTACCCACCACGGCGGCACCGGAAAGTGTCCAAGTCAGTGTCCACTGAAGCGGAGCAATATGCTCCACCCGCATTCCCTTTTCTGTCCAGTGAACGGAACGGAATGGAGATTGCGGCTGTTTTTTTTTCGGTGTATTGGTTTTTTGTTTTTTGCTGTGTGATTTCATAGTCGTTGTACTTAATTGTTGCTCATTCTTGCACGGTTCACTCTGGCTTTGCGTCTTTGCTTTCATTCGATTTCGCATTTGCAGCATTTGTAGCTTTTGGGGAGGCCGACGACAATCTGTGAATTAGCCGTCGTTTATTTATTTTAATTATTTTCTTTGCCAAATTGCTCACTTCCTACTTACCGACTGTGGACCCCCGCTTTCCCTCCCCCGCAGTCTTCTCCTATTGTTTGGCAATCAGCGTTGATTTATGTTCGCCTCTCGTTGATTTTGTTGAGTGTTTGTCAGCCAGTTTGCACCGCCTGAAGAATTTCACAAATTTTAGGCCCCTCTCCAACGAAAAACCAAAGCCAAACTCAAGTGCAGTTTGAGTAGTTTTTAAGTGTTTTCTGTATTTTGACCCATATATTTTAATGGAACGATAAAAACTGAGCTCTTGGGCTTTATCATGCTGTGTATTCACTATGTGTATGTACTGCCCTTTTGCATTTCACAAGACGTCACAAGTTATTTCTTAGGCTGATGAAATTGTACTTCTTGTTCGTTAAACTATTAGTTTAGTTATACCATTTGATGACATAAATGCCATTTCATCTCAATACGCTCAATTGGTGGCGTGTGTCGAACCAATTTATAAATTACATAAACGAACCGGCCATGCTCAATACAAATTGGTTTCTATTAATGAACAAAAATGAATGAAAATAGCTTTTCCCCTTTTAAGTTCGTATGAAGAGAGTAAGCTAAAACCAACCGGAAATGTTGAAAATTTCTCTTTTATCTATAACAATCAGCGCGCTAAGCGGACAAAACAAATATATTTTTGTTGTGTTTTTGAGCTGATCGCTGGGAGTGAGTTATGGTTTCTGCGAAACTAGAGATCTGAATAGAATGATGGGTTTAAAGCGGGAATTCATTAATCTGCGGCACAAAAACTGTCGTTAAACGAAAAGTCGGGGAAATGCACAAATACCACCATGTGACCATGTGACCAGTAAGCGAGTGGAGATTCTCCGTCTGTTTGAGCAGCGATTATCGTAGCCGCAAGTGCAGTAAATAGAAGGGAATGGGATGGCATCGCCATCGCCATCGCCATCATACATAGGGGAACTCTACTTAAAGCAACTCCCATGGAAACACTCCAGATTGTCTTAGCACACAATTGGGAATCATAGTTTTCTTTTTTTTTTGGAGGGGGACCACCGGACCATGCGTCACACAAACAAATTTATGAGCTGAAGTTGACTTGAGGTTATCGTGCCCGTCTGACCATGATAATGACGATCTCCTCTGGATGCCCGCAATTTGTAGTTGTGAATGGAGCATGAATCGATGTCTTGTTTCTATTCTTTTGGCTACTTGCACTTGCAACTTAACATAACATTATATTAAGGCATAAGCAGTTTGGTTTTAATAATTATTCTTGTAAAGTATTTGTGAATTCTATACAAGAAATACATAGGTTTTTACAAAGTTTTGAACAATTAGTCATTGTTAAAGCCCAGCTTTTATGTATCTCCGAATTGTACTTGTAAAAAATGTCAATGCCATACGCATTCAAACTTCCATTACTTAAATATTCAAACTTGAAGCCTTAAGTCAAACTATTTTAAGTATTGATCTGTTTTATATCTTAAGTCTCTGGTTTTTCTGTGTCGGATTTGGATAATGCTAGATATTAAAATTTGACTGAAGGTAAACAATCTTAGGTTATAGTTTTCTTTATTTTATTTCTTTATCTGCAGTATAACAAAAGCATAATTTTTTATCTCATATTTATGTATATTTTCATTTCCCATTTTAAAATTTAGTTATTTATATATTTTTTAAAAGTCAAACCAGTTTTATTTTAAAATCATTATTATATTTGAAATGAATAGTAAACTGTATACTTTTTTTTAATATATTTTTTTTAAATGATTAATAAACTTCCGAAGACTGTTTATTATTTGGAAAAATATTGTGAAATGTCTACTTTAAATTAGTTAAAATCTATGGAAAACTAGACTACTTTATTTATTCCTACATTTTTTTAATTGGGACACCTGCTTATAATCCCTCATCTTCCGTTGACTCTTCCAGAACCGCGCTCTGCCCGCCAATGCCTCGCCTTTTCGCCGAGCCTGGGGACAGTCTTCCTTCCGCACGCCCCGCTCCGACAAGGTGGCCAAACAGCAGCAGCAGCAGCAGCAGCTGGGACAATCCTCGCCTGTGAGACGCACTGCCTCGATGAACGCCTCCGACAACGACATGTACATCAAGACACTGATGCTGGACTCGGATCTGAAGGCGACGCGCAGTCAGCAGCAGCTGAGCCTGCTGCAGGTGCCCAAGATCCTGACCACGCCCGCCCCGCCCTCCGCCATCACAGTGTCCGTGGCTGGAGAGGATGCGGCGGCCCAGGAACACGGCTGTCCCAGCAGCTGGGGTAGCTCCTTCGAGCGGATGCTGCAGGATGCCGCCGGCATGCAGACCTTCTCCGAGTTCCTCAAGAAGGAGTTCTCGGCGGAGAACATCTACTTTTGGACCGCCTGCGAACGCTACCGTCTGCTGGAATCGGAGGCGGAACGGGTGCTCCAGGCACGCGAGATCTTCGGCAAGCATCTGGCCAACAGCAGCAGCGATCCCGTCAACGTGGACTCGCAGGCACGCAGCCTCACGGCGGAGAAGCTGGCCACTGCCGCCCCGGACATCTTTGCCGCCGCTCAGAAGCAGATCTTCAACCTGATGAAGTTCGACAGCTACCAGCGCTTCATCCGCTCCGATCTGTACAAGAGCTGCGTGGAGGCGGAGCAGAAACACCAGCCGCTGCCCTACAGCGGCATGGATCTGGACGAGCTGCTCAAGACGAATTTTCACTTGGCCGCCTCCTCCAAGGTGAGTGCTTTATCCATACTTCCATTTTGTGTCTACAAATGACAATATTTCTAAGAAATAATATCCCAACTGGTAACGGAAATACATACTAAACGGACTTTCTCCCCCCCCTTTTTATAGCTGAAAAAATCGGCTAGCAATGCGGAGGATCGGCGGCGCAAGAGTCTGCTTCCGTGGCACCGCAAGACGCGGAGTAAGTCCCGCGATCGCGGCGAGATAATGGCCGACCTGCAGCACACGCTGATGCCGGCGCCACCGCTGCCACCGCCTGCCCTGCTGACCAGCGCCTCGCTGAAGCTCGTCTCCGGCCAGAATTCCCTGAGCGATCTGCACAGCTCGAGGTCGTCGTTGTCCTCCTTCGATGCGGGCACAGGGACCAACACCAGTGGCGGCGGCGGACAAGGGGCCAGTGCGGAGAGCGTGTGCTCGCTGTGTCGGGTGATACTCACCGATGGAGCCACGACCATTGTGCAGACGCGGGCAGGCGAAACGGTGGGCGAACTGGTGGAGCGACTGCTGGAGAAGCGGAATTTGGTGTATCCCTACTACGACATTGTGTTCCAGGGCACCACCAAGTCCATCGATGTGCAGCAGCCGTCGCAGATGCTGGCCGGCAAGGAGGTGCTGATCGAGCGGCGGGTGGCCTTCAAGCTGGACCTGCCCGATCCCAAGGTGATCTCGGTGAAGAGCAAGCCCAAGAAGCAGCTGCACGAAGTGATCCGGCCCATACTTAGCAAGTACAACTACAAGATGGAGCAGGTGCAGGTGATCATGCGCGACACGCAGGCGCCACTGGATCTCAATCAGCCCGTGACAATGGCCGATGGCCAGCGGCTGCGCATCCTGTTGCTGCACGGCCATTCGGATTTTCAGGTAGGCGGCGTCAGTGGCAGTGGTAGCAGCAGCAGCAGCAGCATGACCATGACCACGGTGCCGCCGAAGCAAAGCAAACCAATGAAGCCGCTGCCGCAGGGCCAGCTGGATGAGCTGACGAACAAGGTGTTCAGCGAACTCTTGGCCAGCAAGGTGGATGCGGCGCAGGAGAAGCCCCGACCCAGCGATCTCTGCTCCATGAAGTCGAACGAGGCGCCCTCCGAGTCGTCCTCCTCGCTGTTCGAGCGCATGCGGCGCCAGCAGAGCCATGGCAGCAACATTCCGGGCAGCAAGTTGCCCAAGCTCAAGAAGAAGTCCACCAGCAGTCAGCAATCGGAGGAGGCGGCGACGGTGGCGATGGCGGCGACGGTGGCGGATCCCAAGAAACCCATCATAGCCAAGCTGAAGGCGGGCGTGAAGCTGCAGGTGACGGAGCGAGTAGCCGAGCACCAAGGTGGGTGACCTTGCAGTGCCTCCTGCGTCACTTGCAATGCCAAACTAACTTGCTCCTGTCTTTTGCTTCTTCCAGATGAACTACTCGAGGGCCTGAAGCGGGCACAGCTGGCACGGCTGGAGGATCAGCGTGGCACCGAGATCAACTTCGATCTGCCCGATTTTCTCAAGAACAAGGAGAATCTCAGCGCAGCTGTGTCCAAGCTGCGCAAAGTGCGCGCCAGTTTGAGTCCCGTGGGCAAGGTGCCATCCCCGTCGCCCACGGAAATTCCCCAGCCGGCGCCACGTCTGTCCATCACACGCAGCCAACCGCAGTCGCCCATGAAGGTGGACCACCAGGAGCTAGAGACTGAGCTGCTGCCGGCCGCCGAGATGCAGGACCAAACGGATCAGTTTGCCAAGGCGCCGCCTCCGTTGCCGCCCAAGCCAAAGGTGCTGCCCATCAAGCCGTCCAATTGGGGCGTGGCTCCAGCTGTGGCTGTGGCCCAGCCCACGACGGCCAACTATTGCAACAAGTTCTCGCCCAGCAAACAGCAGGTGCTGGTGGCATCCCCCACCAAAGAAGCGGCCAAAGTGGCAACGTTTGCCAGCAAAATACCATTGGAATTGGGACGAAAGTCTCTGGAGGAGGCGGCGGGCTCGCGGTGTGCCTATCTCGATGAGCCCAGCAGCAGCTTCGTGTGATTGAATTGGCTTTACCAGATCTGACGCTGATCTTGCTTGTATATACATCTACATATGTGTGCACTATTTATTGATACTGTTTATCGTTAGTGGTCCCCGTTGAATGTCCACATGTCCACCCATGACAAACTTTTGTATGTTAACTACTGAGTGAACGCCTGTATTTATAACTAGCCACCCTAAGCCTTAGCTCTACTACATTTCGTATAAATATTATATATACCACAAACATGTAATAATTCAATGCGTAACTTACTTGGGAAGGCTGTCGATTTTATCCTTGTATGTACTTAGTTTTTTGTGTACGCTACAAGTGCAAACAAATAATTGTAATTTCTATTCTGGAAATTTTAAAGCTAAAATAACAACAGTGAATACATTCTACATTTTTATAATAATATTATTATTATAATATATTATAAAATTGGTCAGCAGTTTGTAACGCAGATCAAGCTTAAAAACGGCGGAGATCGGAACTTTCAGTTAAAACTCATTGAATTCGCTGTTTTTATACCCTTGCAGAGGGTACTAACATTTTAGTCAGAAGTTTGCAACGCAGTGAAGGAGATGTTTCCAACCCTCTAAAGTATATATATATTTTTGATCTAGCCATGTCCGTCTGTCATTCTGTCCGTTTCTAGACTCTCAGAAACATTCCCGTAAGTTCCTTCCTATTGCAGGTAGTATATATGTCGGAAAAACATGAAAAAAAGGAAAACTTTACTGTATTTTATTTATTCTTTAAGTTCTGCAACATTGAGTAATGGCTTATTATTTTTTAGTTTTACTGTTTAAATTTAATAAAAATCGGACGACTATACAATCCGATTTTTTTTTTTAATATCTTTGGTCATAGAAATGGTTTTATAATTCAGAATAATGCTTTTAGTTTTATTAAAATCGGAATACGATATCATATAGCTGCCATAGGAACCATCGCTATTTAAGCTTAAAATCATCATTGCTTCAATCTTTTTAAATATATGTAATTCGAAATTTAGATGTTTTAAGGAATATTTAGTTTTTGGAATAGCTGCAAGGGTATATAAACTTTGTCGTGGCAGATTTAATGTTTTTCAAATGAAGATGTTATTTTTCCAACATCAAACATCACAGATAATTATTATGATTACATGATTATATTGCTTGTTTGAAAAAAAGAAGATAATTCGGTTTGGTTGTCGTTATATATTTGTGTAAAAACACAAGGGTCTAGTTATGAAGCTATATAGTCTGTAGGAACATTTTAAATTAGCATCGACAGCAAAGTTGATGTTGTAGCCCAAGGCTAAGAAATGGACCTTTATTATTAGTACTTCCTAAGGCCTTATCTTTTTGAATTCCCAAAATTCGTTGTCTGTTGATAAGCCCAGCAGCAGAGGTTTTTTTTTGAACTCGTGCTAAGCTCCGAATTTAGTTACTAAGCAGCTCTGCTTCGGAAGATGTCTGTGTTTTCCTCAGCTCTGTTCGCGATTTTGCTCTTCCACCAGGGATTGGCCTATCTGCTGGAGCCAAACTGTAAGGGCCATGTGGAGCTTGTCTATAAAGTTCAAGGAGGTAACAACGCCCTCGGTTACCACACACCCTTTATGGTATCCTTATACGATAAGACCAGAAAATTTATCGCCGGCGGCAGCCTTATTCACAAACGTGAGTTCCATCACATTGAGGAAAAAATATACTCGTACATTTCAAAGGTTATTTCTATTGATTTGGTTTTAGGCTTCGTTCTAACAGCGGGGCACGTTCTGTCGGAAGATCCAAAGTAAGTACCATTTGGTCGGATGAAATTATGATTGATGTTCAAAATATGATGGCCTAGATTCGTGCGCTTGGGAGAAAAGGACAGAACGTGTGAAAACTGGAATTGCTCAATCGTACAAGAGTATTTGGTGGAGAAGGCTTTAAGGCACCCTCGAAATAAACTTATTTTCGAAAATGATATAGGTCTTCTAAGACTAAACGCTCATGTCGAGTACAACAGTAAGTTGGACCTTATTTTACGTACAAACTGTACATACCTGCGTGGCATATTCATCTATTTTCTTTATTAAATCCTACTAATACTCTTAATGTGTGCAGAAGACATCCAGCCAATTTGCATCATCGTGGATGACGCGGTGAATTTCAAAAATGTAGAGAAATTAAGGGCTTTCGGCTGGGGTCGAACCTCAAGCACAGAGAAATTGAGCGATATGCTTAAGACCATCCTACTGAAGCGAGAAGATCCGAGCGTTTGCGAACTTTCAGTAGGAGCATCCCCTACTGAACAGCAGTTCTGCGCCTCTGACGCAGATGGACATGGAGACACTTGTCCTGGCGACTCTGGAGGTCCTCTGGTGGCGGATTTTACATACGAAGGGAGGAAGAGCTACACTCAGATAGGAATTGTTAGTTACGGCTCGCAGAGTTGTAACGCCTCTAGCATTTATACAGATGTTGCGAGCCACCAAGCCTGGATAGCTGAAATGGTGCACACCCACGAGGAGCATCTTTTGTTCGAGAATTGCAGCAGCCATTGGACTGGTAATATTGCAGTGCGTCTGTGGGAGACGACTATTCTGAAGCGGACTGTTGCCGGAACCCTTATTACCGACGGTAAGCATTTATTTTGCTTAATCTCGAACACCATTGATCTGTTTCTTTTCCGAATTCCCTAGAATTTGTCGTGACTGTTGCCAGCGCGCTCCAGACAAATTTCACTGACATGTGAGCACCATTTAAGCTAATCTTATATATTTATTGAGACTAAAGCCATGTTTTGAAAATGGCACTCATTCCATTTTATTTTCAGAAAAGTTAAGGGGAGATATTTTGAGATTGAAGTTGCCCAGATCATCAAGCACCCGGAATTTTCGCATTCACGAGGATCAATAAAGAACAACATAGCTTTGCTTAAACTAAAAAACAAGGTGGAAATGTCAGGTAAAAATGTTTAAGTTTAAACCAATTCAACGTCTTATGAAAAAGACTATTTTATTTAGATCTTGTGAAGCCCGTCTGCTTGGCAGTGAACTCCTTCCCTTCACAAACATTTACTGCCCTTCTCGAAGCTTACAATAGAACTATATCAATAGGCCTTAAACGCATACCCTTTACCCCCACCAAGGATTGTTCCAGAACTATTGGAATGCCAGTTGAGTCTAATCAATTTTGTGTCGAACAACCTCGTGATTATAAATACGAGCGACCTGGTTCGGTAATGGGTACTTATAAAGAGGTCAAGGACGTCATGAGGTACCTTCTCACTGGCATTATAAGCCATGTTATAAATGGTATGCTCGTATTTACAAATGTGGAAACTTACGAAGATTGGATAAGGAAAAACATAATGTGAATATTATGAAATTTTAATAATAAAATGGTGCTCGGCGCACACTGCAAATATTTATAAGCTGATTCTGTTCATGTCACGCTCAGACATTGTAGATGGTTAGTTATTGCGCTGTATAAGTATGTTTCGGTCATATCTATCGGCAGAGACAAAAACTTTACAAATCGATCTATAATTTTGGTAACGCTCTTAGCTTTAAGAGTTTGCAATGAAGTCTGACAGATGGCGCCACCCGATTGTTTGATATATGTACATATAATATTTAGTTTGAAATTTTTTAGCTGATTAGCGGGAATCTTTTTGTTTAATTATGAGTTCTTGAGAATTGTTTAATTTGAAGATTATTTTTTGACGTACTTAAAGCGCTTCTTAGCATAATCTCGTTAAAACTTGTTGAACGAGTGATCTTATCATATATTCCTATTTAAGCTTCTGGAATTTGTCATTAAACAAATCATACAATGCCGAGCTAAAAAAGCTATTATTTAAAATAAAAAAAAAATAATTAAATAAATAAAATTTATGTTGCTCTAAATTGCCCTATCAACAACATTTTACGAACGTTAATAGCACTCAAACGATTAAATAATTCTTAAACAAAAACATTCATAGCCTTTCTTTTTTACTGTCTGATACAAATCGTGTTAATAACTTTCGGGTTCTCGAGAATATAAACTTCCTAAGAAAAATTACTTACAATTTAGAGAGATCTCCCAAATCTGAAACTTTCTTAACTCGCTACATAAAATAAAGGCAAGTCTAAATATTGTTTAAAATTAAAATTTTTCAGCACTAAAAAGATAACGATACGAATCGGTTAAACTGCTAGGATTAAACATTTACAAAGGGTTAGTTAATAATTTTGAATCTCTGGCTCTTTTGAAATTCAACTTTCTATAAATGATGATTAATAATTTAGAGTTTTATCCTATATCTGAAACTATTTTAACTGGATAAATAAAATAAAACTCAACAAATAAAGACAAATGTTAATATTGTTTAAAATTATAATTTGACCAAGTTGGCAGCTCAAAAATCATTCGACAACATAAACGCGCATCCTTCTGAGCCGCCAGGCGGCCCACAAAAAGTACAATCAAATGGCCAGGGAAGGTTTCGTCCGGCTCTCAGTCGAGGTGGCCAGTTGCAGTTGCTCCTTGGTCTGTGCGCTGCCTGCTACCACCTCCGGCTGCTTGGTTGCTTCCTCGCCGCCACTCAGCTCCTTGGGGAGATCCACCTCCTCCACATCCTCGATGAGACGATAGGTTATGGGAGCCGGCTGCTTGGGCGGCAGCCAGTCGGGGATGATCTTGTCGTGCAGCCGCCACTTGCCGTACTCGTTGGAGATGTGCTTCTCGAAGACCACGTACTCCAGCACGTCCTTGGTGAGGATCTCGCTGCCGTGCATGAGCCGGCCGAAGCGGTCGTATATGGCCAGCATCTGTTGGCTGTGGAAGCGCACGGTGACCTGGGCGAATTGGTTCTCCTTGGTGATCACCTCGGTGACGCGGGCATGGACGACGCGCGGCGGCTCCAGCGACTGCAGGAACTTCCAGTGAATGGTTTTGTCCCGCACGTTGTGCATCATCTCGGGATAGCAGCGTTCGCTGACGAACTCACGGATCTTGTACTTATCCTTGGCGGCCATGTGCGTGTGGGCCTGGATGTAGATATCCTGGGCCTCGGCGCCGAACTCGTCGGAGCTGAAGCTCTCCTCGTAGGAGCGAATCTTGCGCACGGCCATCAGGCTCTTGGACTTCTTCTCCAGGAACTCTAGCTTCTGCTTGGCGCCAGAGGTGGAAATGATCGACTTCTTGCCATCGCCCTCAGGCGGAACATACGCCTCGAAGATGCCACCGGTGCAGCTGATGTGGAAGGGGCGCTCCATCCAGGGCCTTGGCGGCAGAACACCACGCTCCTTCATCCGGCTGCGCATCTCCTCCTTGCTGATATCCTCCTGTTTCTCGCGCAGATTGGGCAAATCCATCTTGATAAACTTCTGCTTGCGCAGGCGCTTGAACTCGGGCTGCCAGTGTTTGGTCTGTCGGTGGCGCACCTGCTGCATCTGAAGCAGGTTCTGGAGCGGACTAGCGAGCACGCCCAGGCCACCAGTTGTGGCCGCCTGCTGTGCGCCGGGCATCACCTGTGATTCAATCAATGAAAGCGTGGTCAGTGGGTAAATTTTTGACTGCAAGCCTAATCACCCTCTCACCTGCAACAGTTTAAGACACGTTTTGGCCGACACAAGCTTCTCCATCGTATATTATTTATTATATAAATATGGGACTTCTTAATAACAAACTTTTTAAAATGCACTAACGCGTACCATGGGCAAACGTGATTGCAAGCACACATTCGATAGGTTCGATTAGGTAAACAAGTCATTATCGATTCTAAGCAGAATATTCGATTACTGCTGGAACATTTCGAATTTAAAAAATGTTCAGTTACTTTTGCAAATTTAAGAATAGTTGTAGTAAATTTTCTGACCATATAAACTTTATGTAAGAAAGCATTTGCATGTTTAATTTTCTTATCCACCAGCAGCTTTTCGGTTTCTATCTTCTATGTTAAAATTGGTTATTGTATTCCCTGTTGAATATGTCCCACAATCCAAAATTACAGGGCCAAACGTTTTACAATCTATTGTTTAAAATTTCTCGCAAAAAAAAAGTTCAGTTTAAGATTCCTATTCTTGCCTTGAGAACAATTAGAGGTAAGAGAGCTATGGTTTTATAAATGGTTTAATTTGATAAAACTATAGATTTCGAGCAATGGCTGTTGGAAATTGGGAAACAATCTAAACAGAGGGGAGAGTTAATCCTGTCTAGACTTCATTTGAGTGCTTCATTTTGAGTTTCCGCATCAGTCTTAGTTTCCTTCCTCCTCCTCATCGGGTTCATCCACGCAACTTTCGCTGCAATCGGGCGGCAGATCGTCGAGAAATCGGTAGCCGGCGCTCTTGAACATCTTGGCCTTCATCTGGAGGCCAAAGAAGAGGCTTTTACAGGCACACCGCCCATCCCGCACTCCCTGTCGATACATACCATCAGCTGCTGGTACTGGCAGTCGTAGGCGTTGATGGCTATGTCCCGCTTCCGCAGCTCGTTCCGCAGCACATCGATCTCCATTTGCTGGCACTGGGCCCGCTGGACGGCGCATTTGGCGGCCACCAGTTCCTGCTTCATCTGATTGCAGCGGCACTGAAGCAGGGATGAGGGAAATATGTATTTTGTTGCATATTTATTAAACATAATTATCCAATAATAAAAACTTCAAATTTCAAATCAATTAAAGATATATCATTGAAAGAATAGAATCCTTTGCGTAAACGACTTTTAAGTGTGCTTACTTTATACTTAAAGCGCATTAAGTGGAAAACTACTAAAATTTTATTCTATGCATGAAAATGTAGTCTTTTATCGTTAAATATTTTTTTAAAGAAAAATACATTTTTTTATTACCAAAAAAAAAGGAATTTTTTTGAGAGAAAAACGAAAGAAAATTCTAGTTATCAGCCATTATTAATTAAAAATGCATAATCAATTGTTTTTAAACATATGGGCATTAAAATCGAAATACAGTCGATTGTTTACTTGTGTCTAAAAAAATTAAATAAATACTAAATACTTTAAGACCTATGCCAATAGGCAATGCAACAACAAAGGAGGATCATGAGCCATGGGCTTGGGCACCCACAGCAGACCCTCTGCCCAACCTGAGATGAACCCTACCTTCAGTATCTCCTCGTTCCCCTTGGCCTTGTCCACCTCGTTCTCGTAGTAGCACTGCATGTCCTGCATCTCGCACTGCAACTGCTGCATGCATTGGTTCTGCTGCTGGAGATTGCCCTCGAGGCTGGAGGACAGGCACTCCGCCTCGTTGGCCTTCTGCTCCAGCTCGTTGACCTTGTCGCCCAGTTCCTCCAGTTCCTTGCACTTCTTGCGCAGGGCATCGCGATCGGCCAGGATCTTTTGAATGTTTGCGGCATCCCGATCGGGCGAGAAGCTGCCCTTGCCACGAGCTGCTCCGCCGGGAGGTGATCCTCTTCCGCCAGCGTCAGAGCCACCGCCACCACCAGAGCCGCACTTTTTGGCGCACCGCTTCAAAACATCATCCTCGAACTCACGCAGAAGGGCCACCTCCTTGCCCAGATCGTCGATCTTCTTCTGCAGATAGGGTATGTCCTGACTCCTCTCCGGATCAATTGGGATGCTGTCCATCTTGCAGCGCTTGGACTGCTTGTCGATCAGCCGCTTTAGGTTGGCATTCTCCGCCTCCAAAATGTCGTGGGCCTTGTTCATGTCGTCGATGGCCGCCTGCAGGTCGTTCAGCTCCTCCTCGTCCTGCGGAGTGATCTTATCGGCATCGGCCAGCTCCTGGATCTTCTTCCTGAGGGCCTTGCTCTTGGCCGGGTCATAGCGCTGGTCCATAATCCGCCTGATCTCGTCACTCTCCTCGTTGGCTGTCCGCAGCTTGTCATCCGAATCGGCCAGTTTGCGTTGCAGCATGTTGTTCTTGATCATCAGCTCCTGCATGCGGCCAATTGTGTCGTCGGCGGCATTGATGAGGCTGTCGCCCACCACCAAGTTACTGCCGTACTCATCCTCCGGGCCCAATGGAGATCGCGGCGTGGGCTTGCCACCCTCGTCACTCGTTTTCTTGATCGGTGAATTGCAGGCCACCAGGTCGGCCACGAACTGCGACTTCCGGTCCTCGCTGGCCGACCACGATCTGTCGTCGATGGTGGACGGATAGCTCTTCAGCTTAACGCAGGCATCGATGCATTCGAATTCGTACGTCTCGTTGCTAAACGGCACATGAAAGAACTCTTTCTGAGTGGAGAAAGCCATTGCTAAGCTTATCAAGTCAAACAAGCGAAAAGAAAAAAGAAAGCAATGTGTTCGTCACGCAAATTTATATATCACTCTTTCGAAGTGCTCAAGGCTCGGGTCTCAAAAAGCAGGGGTCCGACATGTATCAAGTCACAAAAAAAAAATATCTATTGCTGGACAGATACAATTTTAAAATAAACTATCTCTGTCCCCAGTCAGGGCAGCTGGCAGTTGGAGACACGCCAACTAGCTAACAACTCTACGAACTATTCGAGGCCCTGGGCTCTTCGCTCCGCCAGCGATTCGTCTGCGGAATTCATGGAGGCGAAGCCACATGGCTGCATTGTCATGCTGGCTGTGCCGGAACTGATCGTGCGGAGGGCACTTGAGTAACCAGAGAGCTCTGCCAGTGGAGCGTTCACCAGAATCATCTAAAAAAATTGGGTCTCAATTAATTAAAAGTCATCAATAGTAATGTGCTTAAGCCAAGCATTACCTTGTTCCTATCACCCTTGGGCAGGACGTCATTAATCAGGGCTCTTCGTCGTGAAAGATCGGCTATTATGCCGGAAATGCGTTCACTAGGTGCCACAATTTGCAGGGCCATGATGGGCTCCAACAAGCGGGTTCCACTCGTGCTCAGCAGCTGTAAAGTCATCAAATTACTTGTTGTAAAGCACATAATTTAATCATAAATTAGCCTACTTTTTGAACACACTGAGCTGCCGTGGCCATCACAAAGGAGTCTGCGGTGCCACGTCCAATGGAAGCATTGTGCAGCCGAATCTGCGTATCCACCACCTGGCCACCAACACGAGGTCCTCGCTCCAAAGCACTTATAGAACCCTTTCGCAGTACCTGAAGAATTCGTGGTCGCAGCGTGTTGAGGCTTGCCAAGTTCTCCGGCGATTTATCTAAGCTTTGGTGAAAGAACAGACAATTAGATAAGAGTTTCAGGGAAAGTATAGAGTTTTTAGCTTACCTAAACAGTTCAGTTTGATTCTTGACCACCTCCAACGTGATGCTGACATTCTGCTTGCTTCCAGCTATTTCCTTTTCCACGCTAAGCGTGTTTAAAGCCGGTGACTCAATGGTTTCCTTGTAGGCAATCTGCAATGGCCCCAGATCAACGTCGATTTTGTACTCGCTCAAGATGCGTGACTTGATGATGTCCATGTGCAGTTCACCCATACCGCCGAGCACTGTCTGCCCGGTGACGGAATCGTAGCTGACCCGCAGGCTAGGATCCTCACGCTGCAGTTGCCGCAGAGCCTGCTCCATGGCCGTTTGCGAGGATACGCTGGGCGGTTCGATGGAACAGAAGTAGACGGCATCTGGTATTTGCGGATCGATGGAAAATAGCTCGTCCAACTCATCCGGCTCATCGTCTTCCTCATCTTTGGTTGTAGCTGCACCCAGGCTTTGCTTTAAACGTTTCTGTGCATTCTTCAGCGCTGACTGGCTGGAGGTCAGCAGATCTCCCGTGACTGTGGACTACATTATCATTAACAGCGGGTTAAGGAGCGAATCTAGGTATAACTTACCTTCAGACCGGCACATATGACCACATCTCCCGACTGGACAGCGCTGACCTCGCGATACTCGTCGGCCAATGGCTCGTATAGCTTGGACACCACTTCCGCCTGGCCACGAGCCGATATCAGTCGCATTCCCCGCTTAATCTCGCCCCTCAGAATACGTACCAGGGTCAAGGGACCACGTTGTTTGTCGTGCACAATCTTAAACACCTTGCCAGCCACCTCTGTTCTGTAACACATTTGAATTGAGTATGGTTAGTGAGTTAATAAGACCAACTTCTACCCAAAGCAATCATAGATCTGGTTGCGTTCCTCGGGAGCAGGGAGGTAGGAGTTTACGGCATCCATAAGTCGCTGAATGCCGACGTTTTTGTAGGCAGAACCCAGCAGCACGGGCACAACTTTCTGCTGACTAGTGGCCCGTCGAAGGGCTCTTTCAATTAGGGCATTATCCACTTTGTCAAAGCTCTCTGTGCTGATGACCACGTCGGCCAGTTCGTCGTCCAGTCCCGATAGCCGATCAATAAGTTCATTGCGCTTCTCCTGCAGCTGGCGCAAGCTATCTGATGGCTCCAGTTTAATGTTCTTGTAGCTCCGCCCCAGATCCTTTTGCTGCCAGCTGAGCTGCTCAAGGGTTATCACATCGTTGATGGCTAAAAATTTGTAGTTCTTAGAACAACTTAACTTTTGAGCAAGTTTTATAGTCATACCCAATAGTCCTTGCTCGTTTTTTACGGGATATTGCAGGCAGACGGGCTGAGTTTCCAGTTTCTCCTTGAGGTCTAGGACACACTTTTCAAAATCCGCATCGGGGCGATCCATCTTGTTGATGAATATCAGTCGTGGCAGCTTGTGCTTGTCGGCCTGTGACCACACGGTGACTGTTTGGGCCTCCACGCCAGCCGTGCCGTCCAGAACCACGACGACACCATCAACGGCATACAGCGATTGCTCCACCTCCATGGTGAAGTCAATGTGACCGGGTGTGTCCAAAAGGTTGATGCTGTGGTAAAAGGAATAAGTAAGAAGAGGCTGGAGGACTAAACAAGACACCCTACCGATGGCCATTCCAGGGAAATGTTACCGCCGAACTGCAGATGGTTATGCCCCGCTCCCGCTCCTGGGTTAGGTAATCGGTCACCGTGTTGCCGCGATGCACTTCACCCAGAGCCCGGGTTTTGCCCGCATAGAACAGCATGCGTTCCGTGGTCGTTGTTTTGCCTGAAATGGTTTTGTTTACTCGGTAATTACAAGTGTAATAAGCTATTTAGCTGCTCACCTGCATCGATATGCGCCAGTATTCCTATGTTCCTGATCTTACTGGAGTAACTACGTCTCCAGTTTTGATTGGACAGCTGCCAGGGAAACCTATTTATCTGTTTCGGTCTAATTTGTAAAGCATATTTAAGCATTTTAATTGATAAAATTCAAGCAAAACAAAGAAAGCGGCAAAATAGAAGACAACACAACAGCTGTTTGCCTTAAATCGCTATCGGTTTGTGCCGCAAATAGCTGATGCAGGCAATCGAATAAATTCGCCAAGCCAACAGCTGTTTGCTGGAAATCGTTATCGAGAAATGTCGCAAACAGCTGTTGCAGACAATCGATTAATTTAGAATTTGCGGCTTGAACTCGAACATGCCAAGTTTTTAAATCCCTTTATTGTACGCTTTTCAAAGTGTTTAAGTGATATTGTGAAATAGTTATTAAACTGTTTTTAATTTATTACCGAAAAATTAGCACTGTAGGTGCAAAAATAAGCACATAAATAGGCACAAGTTCAGTTGAAAGTAGACCTTTGCTCTGTTGATTAATTCAATATGTCCACACGACCAAGACGCGCTGCAGCCACCAAAAAGCTGGTAATTGAAGTCTCCGATTCGGATGAGGAACTGAGTCTTACGGCAAACGATGATTACAGGCCACCGGAAACGAAGACCCGCAGAATAGATCGGGCTGCAAATTCGCTGGCAAGCGGGTAAGTTGTTTCCCCTGCTTTATCCTGTAAGGATACTTTTAATCCCCAGTCCTTTACAGACCCAAGCGCCAGCGTTGGCCCACTTCCAAAAAGGCAAATGCTGAGAAAGCAGCTCCTTCCAAGAGAAAGCGTGCCGGAAAAGACAAGGAGGACGAAAATGCTTGTCCCAACGAAGCCAACCCGGAGCCGGAGGTCAATGCACCACCACCATCTTTGATCCAACCCAGTTCCACCACTGAAAGAATCTCCAAAGAACCAGCTCCCAAGAGAAAGCGTGCCAGAAAGGAACAAGTGGACCGAAATGCGAGTTCCAGCGAGAACAATCCTGAGCCAACTCCAACTATGACCCAACCAGATGGGCCTGTAGCCAGCTCCACCACCACTGGTCGCAGCTCCTTTTGGGAGCGCCGCAAGGTGTGGAACATCCATGAACTTCTGGCCGAAACGGAGAATATCCAACCGCAGGCAGCTCGCAACATTGTGCAGCTCTTTGAGAACGAAAACACAATACCTTTCATATGCCGGTATGCCTTATAATTAGCATATATTTGCACAACCATTAATACGCATACTCTTAGCTACCGACGAGATCTGGTGGATCACATTGCACCAGATCGCCTGCGAGACATTCGCAACACGTACACGGAGATCGTGGATCTGCGCAAGCGGGCCGAGAACATTGTCAGTCAGTTGGAGCGCGAAAATGTCCTGAATACGGACATTCGGGAGGAGCTGATGTGCGCCAAGACCAACGAAGAGCTAGAGTTCCTGTACGCCCCCTACAAGCCGGCCAGCAAGGGCACTTTGGCGGAGCGGGCCAAGGCTTTGGGCTTGGAGGAATACGCCGACCGTTTGCTCTACGGCTCGGCTCCCAGAGTAAACCTCTCCGAAATTGTGGACTCCGGTAACGAGGCCTTGGCCACGGAAGTACTTGTGATGAGTGGCATATGCAACATTATTATACACAATATCAGCAAGAACACAAATGTTTTGGAGGAGATTCGCAGATTGTAAGTCTATGGTTTTGGAAGAGAATTATGTCTTCTTCGTTTTGAAAACATAACTTAATACCCACATTTAAGAATGTTGCTATTAGAATAATCAATTCTACAGAAGCTGAACTAAATCTCAAAACTATAAGACCACTAGGAACTAAAAGCTTAAACTTCTATGCAAATAAGAACATTTTTAAGATCGGTATAATCCCATTCCAGACAAAATGTGCATCGTGTGTTCCTCAAGTGCAGCAAGACCAAGGAGTCCAAGTCATCGAAGGCTAGTACAAGTAAAGCAGGCAGCAGCAAGGGAACCAGCGGCATCGCAGACAAAAAATTGGACAGCTCTAAGTTCGAGAACTACTTCAACTTCCAGGGTGATATTAAGACCATAAAGCCTCATCAAATGTTGGCCATCAATCGTGGCGAGAGTCACAAATTTCTCACCGTCAAGCTGGAGACAAACGATTACCTTAAGCGAGATCTCATGCGTTTCATAACTGATCAGTATATAAACGAAGGTCTGCAGTATCCTCTTCGAAGGGAGGTATTTGCAAAATCCCTAGACGAGTGCTACGCCAAGAAATGTAAGAAAAATATATTTATATCTGCCATATATTGTGCCAATCATTGACTAATTGCAGTGCAGCCGCTGATGTGCAGACAAATACGCGCGGATCTGAAGGAAAAGGCCCAAAAGGCAGCCATCGATGTGTTTGCCAAGAACCTGAAGCAACTGCTGCTGATGTCGCCGCTTAAAGGAGAGCGCATTCTGGGTATCGATCCTGGCTACACGAACGGCTGCAAACTGGCGGTCATATCCGAGACTGCTGATGTCCTGGACACGGGTGTTATTTACCCTCATGGTGCACGCTCCAACAAGCGGGCGGCCGAGCAAAAACTGGTTCAGTTTCTCTCAGATCACAAGTATATAAGAGTTAAATTTGATAAACTTATTGTTTATGATGTCTCTTTTAAAGCTGCCAAGTTATAGCCCTGGGCAATGGAACTGCCTGCCGGGAAACCGAACACTGGCTGACTGACATGTTTCACTCCGGCATTCTGGACAGCAGAAGCATTCGCTACAGCATTGTGAACGAGAATGGTGCCTCTGTTTACTCATGCAGCGATGTGGCCGCCAAGGAATTTCCAAAAATGGACACCAACGAAAGGAGTGCAGGTTTGCAGTCGATTTTACAATTGAATATAAAGGTCATACCTTAAATATTATATTTAGTATCCATAGCGCGTCGGCTAAACGATCCGCTGAGCGAGTATGTGAAGATAGAACCGCGACACTTGGGTGTGGGCATGTACCAGCACGATGTGTCAGAGAAGATTCTCACGGAATCGCTGAAGGATGTGGTCTCCGAATGCGTGAGTTATGTGGGCGTGGACCTCAACACCGCCAGTCTCAGTGTGCTCAAGTAGGTCAAGAGACGTCTTGCAAGTGATATGTTATCTAAATCCCTTCTAAACCTTTAATCCAGACACATTGCGGGTCTGTCGGAGAAGAAGGCCGAGAAGATCATTGAGTATCGGACGCAGAAGGGACCCTTTCAGACCCGCAAGGATCTGCTCTCGGTGCGCACTATAGGCGAGAAATCGTTCGTCCAGTGCGCCGGTTTTGTGCGCATAGAACCACTTAGCACGGGAGGAAGACTACAGAACCCATTGGACTGCACCTGGGTGCATCCCGAGAGCTATAAAGTGGCGGAAAGGTAAGTTGTGCTTTATTTGTTAGCAAGAGAGAGTTAAGGCACTTTAGTCGCTGCCTTTTCCGCTGCAATTCTGGCCTTCTCCTCCGCCGCTTCAAACAGCATGGAGGTGTCACTGAACACTTTGACCAAGTCACTGTCACTTTGCCAGATCTTGGGGCAATCATCATCGAACTTCTTAACTTTATTTACGTCCTCGCTGGATTGAGAGGGCTGGTGGCACCAGCATGGCAGATACGGCTTCAAGGGATCCTTCTTGTCGCACCGCTTGCAAGTGCAGTTCTCCAAGCCGGCTCTCATGAAGCTCTTGAAGTCGCACTCTCGGCTCAACAGCGCCAAATAGTCCTCGATGGAGTGCTCCTTCATCGGATCCATCAGTTCCGCCCAGGTCTTTAGCTTGACGATCACGCCAAAGAAGTAGGTGTTCAGGTCCTCGATCATTTGTTCAACTACTTCTAGATCTTTTAGGAAAGGACTCTTGAGAGACCGATCCAGCCTGGTCAGACGCAGATCCAATTCCTTTTTGCTATCGCGCATATCCAAAAACAATTTGGCCAAATCAGAGCTGAAGTGGTGGAAAATTAGCAGTTCTCTTGTTTTTGTTTTATAAACTTACTTGGACTGATTAACGCGATTGTAGGCTCTCTGAAACTCGCAGAGTTCCCGCTCCTCGGTCATGCGGCTAAGATACTCCGGATAGATCTTGGTGCATCCGGTGGCACCGGCCAATATGCGGTAACGCACCCCATGGTACCGCATCTTCTTAACCATTTCGATCTGCAAGGGCTTGGCCTTCGCGAGTTGCTCCTTGAGCTTCCTTAGTTTCTGATCAACGACTTGGATTTGCTCGTGCACACACTGCTCCAGCTTGAAATCGTAGATGGTATAGGTGTTCTCACAACGCTTGAAAGTGGGATTCAGCAGATGGATGGGAATGGTGGATCCCCGGCATGGAGGCGGTAGCGGACGATGCCTGTACCGCTCAGGGGGATACTCCCAGCATACTCCGAATTTAGCCTGGAGCGGCACATTGATCGGGTGCTGCCAACACGGCGAGTATTGCGTCGGATCTTGGTAGCGATAGAAGGGCACCGCACCACAGGCCACCATCTTCACCTTGCTGGGCGGCAGCTTTGGAGGATAGTGCCAGCGCTCTTCATACTGTCGTTTTAAGCCGGCAATCATGATATTTGCAAAGTGGAAATTTAAAACTTATAATCCAAATACTGTTTGTGTTTTCAGTATCGTGGGGGAATGTGACCTGAAGTTGACGGACATTGGCAAGGCTGGCTTTATAGCTCGCATCAAGGAGTTTGCCGCTTCCCAATCTAAGCTTGACCGCATAGCCAAGCAGCATAAACTGCCAATGGAAAGGGTAAGTCATATACTTACACCTTTTATTTCATGCTTTCTGTTTTATATCACATTAATAAATATTGAATACAATTTAGAGATTTTTAATACCGAAAAATTGTCTTATACAAAATTTGTACTAAGTAAATGTCTTTGATTTTGTTCTGCGGTTATCAAAATTTATATTTTTATATATCACTATATTTAAATACTTAAAATTTTATTTTTTATTTTTTTATTTATTTTGTTACCGTATCTAAAAATTTTATTTTGAGAATAAGGCATTTAAAGTTGCAAGGCATCGAATTATTAAGCTGTTATAAATAAATGTAAAACATAACTTGTTTTTCAGTTGGAATTCCTTTTGGTTGCCCTGCAGCGCGAATTGCTTCAGGACTATCGTGCTGATCTGGACAAGAGGCCGCTATTTAAACAGGGCCTAACACGGCTGGATGATCTCAGCCTAGGCGATGTGGTTACGGGTAGGTGAAACCTTTATTTTTAAGATACCTTCATAAACGGAAGTTACTGCAACTATTTCCCCAAAATTCAGGTGCCGTGACGAACGTAACACAGTTTGGCGCCTTCGTGGATGTCGGAGTGGAACGCGATGGCCTCATACACAAGAGTCACATGAACGACAGTGAGCTGAGCATCGGGGACCGCATAGTGGCTTCGGTGGTGAAGGTGGATCTGCAGCGTCGCCAGTTGGGGCTACGGTTGGAGAACATGCTGGTGGAGACGGACTCGTCTTTTACTTTCAAGAGGGATGATGATTAAAAACAAGACATGGATGCTTAATGCTTTCGGAAGTATTTAATGATTCATATCGTAATTGTTTGGTTGCTCACATGAGCATTCATATATACTATATATAGTTCATATATATGTGTATATGCATAGTATAACGGCTTTCCTAAATGTACTCAAAGCTTATCAGTTAGTAATAAATGTTCACATAAAAATCACCGTCTTCAAGTTCGTCATCTTGTTTCCCTTTTCGCCATTTGTTTGCAGCATACGTTCTAAAATCAATGCTCGTGTGAATTGTTATCGAAAGGGTTGGGGGTATTGCTTTAAAAACTAAGTGATGCCCTCGTAGTAAGCCAGTTAAAATGTTTGACTAAATAAATATACAATATGCATACATTTAGGCGCTTGCAGAAGTTGCTTTCACTTTTCAGTTAGTTTGTTTGTTTGCTGTTTTCGAATTTATTGCCGTTTCAGTAGAATTGTTAAAAATTATTATAAACAATGTTATATGATCTGCATTTACATAATTACACAATACAATAATTATAATATATTCAAAAATATATGATGTATTTAAATTTATTGTTTCCTCATTCTCTCTTTTAACCCCGTAATCGATATCAATTTCATATTCTAGCTACATGGACATGTCGCGTAATCAACCGATAATTGTATAAATAAATATATGGATCCGTACATAATATATTGGAGTAAGTGTACCTACACAGATAATGTGATAATGTATCGCAAAAGACCAAAAACAAGTCGTACATGGTATGGTAGTAATTGCTTAGGTTAATGCTAACGCTCTCTTGTCCTCGTGATCGCTTTCGCTTTCGTTTTCTCATTCTGTTTGTTATTGTTACTGCCGATGTTCTCCATCTTTTGTTTTGCGTAGAGATATTGTTCAATAATTTATAATTTATTTTTATCATTTATAATGATAGCATAGGTAATGATGTAAGTATTGTTTATCAACTTTTGTAATAATAAGTCTATGTGTATAAGCAGTTTTCGTTCTCGTTCCTAAGCAGCCGTCCAGCAGAATATTCAAAATTCGAATCGAATAAATCAGATGAAACTGATTTCCGATTTCGAGAGCCATCTCTTTGACAAGTAAGCTTGATACTTATAAAATCGAATGCTCGAATCCGAGATAATCGCCCGATATCTTCTGATGAACGACCTTCAAACATAAAACTCCCGTCTCCCTCGTTAATTATCGTGTTGGTAGTCTAATTATCTCAAATGATGTTCAAGTAATTGAAAGTGCACAGTTTCCGAATATCTTCAGTGGCAGACGACACGGCACAGCCGCAACGCTTGAGTGTAAGTGGGTGGACAATGGTGAGTGGTTCTGAGAGTATGCGAGTGGGGTGTTGTTGTGTGGTAGATCTGTAGATCTGATCTCTGGATCTTTCTGTGTTTCCGGCGACGGCAGCCTGGCATTTTGGAGTATTCTATTTAAATTCATTCGTACGCCTGCTTCCCTGGTGGGGAGAGAAAAGATAGTTACATGCATAAGTCGTCGCATCGAATGTGGTAATTGAATTCGGGGCGTGGCACTTACCGATGGCCAGGCGGAGGCGGGCGGGTATTGATGGTGAAGGTGTGTAGTGGTGTGTTTGTTGGTATGCGAGTTTTCAAAAATGATCGAAATCAAGAGCGGAAATAAAACGTAATTATTTCTTTTTCTTCTCTTTTCTGCAAATGTAGAACGAAACAAAAAGGCGAGGTTAGCAAAATCGTGATTGGAAACTCAAAAACGGGGTGTTTAGATGTTCAATGTTCGTTTGGATTCGCACTAAGCCAAGCTAGACACTGAAGAGTTAACAATTAACATTGAGATTTGGCCTCGGCCTGCTCACATTTAAGACAGGTGGTGGTCAAAGTACGGTTTGGGGCATTTACAACGAGCGAGCACCTCTTTTTTTGGTTGGAGCGGATCACTAGCCTCCGGGAGAAGTGGTGGTGCTTCGTGAGCTGTGTTGGCAAGAGACTAAGTTGGCTAATGGCTTTTCGAATGGATCAAGTGCCGCCAGAGTGGGCAACAGCAGCAGAAGACATCGAACCATCTGTAAGATTGAAGAATTCTTCCATTTGGGTTTTGCATTTTCACTTAATTCGTTGTTCGACTTGTAATTGGAAAACGGGGTGGAAAGCGAAGTAACGTAGTAACGCAAACGGAGTGGCAACGGGTAACGAGTAACGCAACTGCTTTGGGTTCACCTATGAGGATTGGGGTCACCAAATGTCGTCGGGTTAGCATGAGTCTTATATGGTACAATCAATGTAGACAGCAATTAGTGTGGGTGTGTGTGTGTGTGCGATGAGTCCAAGGCTTCATTAATTGATTCTGTCTTCTTAAAATTGTATCTCTATCTGCTGGGATGCGAGCGGATTTTGTAAAACTTGTATAATGCTTTCTTTTTTTTTGTTTGTTTGTTTGTGAGTATGTTGTTAACATGTATATTTGGAATGCCTCTAGCCTCTAGCTTAGATTTAAACGTAAACGTTTGCTACTAATGAACCACATTTGTGTTTTCTACATTTCTTCGTTTAATTTCGTTCTAAATATATTTGTTTTCGGTTTGTATAAGTACATATAACGCCAAAACTTTAGGTTGCCTACAAGTGCTACAAAAAACTGTTATCTAAAGTTAACTATTCCAATCTTGACTTTGAATCTTTTTAAACGGTCGAACGTTTTGTTTTGGTTTCTAAATTCCTAATTTTCGATTACAAATTGTTCATTGAGTTTTCACAGCATGTTGTGTGGTTGTTTTGTGGTTGCATCCAAAATAAAACCATTATTCACATAAAAACTAATTACATTAGGGATCGGTCTCCGTCTTCATTTCCTCGTGGTTTTAATTGCCTACGCGCAACACTTAAGTCTGGGTTCTGTTATTGATATACGTATCGTAGTTAAAACTATTCAAAGTTATTGAAAAGCTTGTGGGGATGTGGCAATATATATGATGCGAGCGAAATGCACAACGAAACAAAAACACACAAGAAATATATATTTACACAGAGAAAGGATATTAGGTGATAACATTGATAACAGCACAGTAATGCCAGCAACACAACAAAACACCGCAGCAAACGGAGTCCCAGAACAGCTTGTGCCAACCCTTGTTGGTGGACACCGAGATCCGGGGAAAGCTGCGGATCGAACAACACAACATTAACGCAATCTCGGGAAGGCTCAACAAAAGCGGCAAAAAATACGGCAAACACAAGGAAACATAAGCAAAAAGGATAAGGAGAACAACAGAACATAACGAATGGATCGGAGCGATCGCTTAAACCACACAAGCTGAGAAAACTCCCATTACGCGTCAGCCAATGTCCTGCTGCACATTGCCGGAGGACGAGGACGAGGAGCTGGAGGAACCACTGGGACGTTGCTGCTGACTGTACCTGTTTGCTGGCTGTTGCTGCTGCTGCTGCTGCTCCTTCTGGCTAATACTTTGCGGCGTGGTTGGCGTGCAGGTGGTGGTGGTGCTGATGCTGGTGGTGGAGCCCACTGGGAATGTGTCGGCCTCCTCCTCGTGCGCCGCCGGCGACGGCTGCAGGGCCTGCAGCTCCAGCTGCTGCTGATCCGCCAGCATCTTGGCGCTCAGGATGCTCACATAGGTGCGGTAGCGACGCAGCTGCAAAGTGTACAAATAAATAAATCAGAAGTCGATTACACTCGAGAAGGATATACATTTGGGGAGTTGGACAATTTAAAGTGTTTGAAAGCAAGCCTCTTTAATTAATCAATAAACAAAACCAGATAAAAAATCAGATAACATTTGTAGCCGTTTATAATTTCTTAAAATGCGCTTTTTTGATATACTTTAATAAATGATTTTAAACAAATTTGAGAAAAAAAAAACTATAAATGGTATTTTTATTGAAATATTCAAACTTACAAATTTAAAAAACAAAAAAAACTTTTCTAAATGCCAATTTTAATATTATTTAGTTATTAGTAATTAGCCTCACGAAAATATACAACAGTTTTCTAAAAGATTCGTCTTAAAAGAAAACAAGTTATCAATTTCTTTAAATTCGCTTTTCTATACTATAGTAAATCATGTCATACAAATGTGAACAAATAACTAAAAAACCTTGTTTATTAAAAAAAAATGTTTATTGTTGATTAATATATTTATTTATTTTAACTATTTTACTTATGCTAAATATCAATTTTTATAAAATTGTGGTTATATTTAGCTTCACAAAAATGTATGCATTTGAAAGTTGTTTCCTAACTACTTTTGATAACTATATAATTTTGATAGCTGCAGTAGCTCGAACTCACCTCATACTGCAAGTAGCTCTCCTTCTCCTTGTAGTTCTGCAGAGGCAAGCCCTTGCTGGGTATCGGACCCTTCTTGTGCTCGTTGAGCTCCTGATCCAATTGGGCCAACTGGACCTCGTGCGACTCCAACTGCTCCTTCTGTAAAGCAAACGTAAAATAAGTAATCGCCCATGAAACAACTACGCAACTCTACTGACCAGCAACAGTTTGGACTGTTTGCTGGGCAGGAGCGGTCGCTGGAACCGCTTCTGGCTGCCCACGCCGCCCTCGAGTGGTGGCGCTGATATGGCCGCGCACACATAATTGATGGTCTCCACCCACGATTGCAGCTCCTTGGAGTCGCTGGTCTGGAACAGATACTCGGCCTGGTCGGACGTCTGCAGACGGAACACATGTTGCTTCTTGGTGTAGTCGTTGGCCTTGGTGGCCAGTGCGTGATGTATGCGTATTGCATTGTGCAGATTGTCGGACATCTACAGATAGAGTTTTATATCATTAAGTGTTCTTTGCTGGTGATATAGATAAGCGGCTAAAACTTACTTGACTCTTGCGAAAACCGTGCTCATCCTTATGCAGATACAGCACAAGGTCACGCAGCGTGCAGTAGAACATCTTCCAGGAGCGTTTGCCAAAAGGAGCTGCACATACCAAGAGTAAATTACATAAACCCTCAAGGAGCTCTATAAAATATATTACTTTTCTTAAAGCTGCTGTCATAGCAGCATTTACGCATCACATAGCCCTTTTTGTACTCCACAGCTGTGGCCAATTCCGGTGGATCGAGGAAGGGATTCTGGCCCACATTGCCCAAAGCACTGTTGTTGGCTCTTTGCTGCTGCAGATCGCCGGCCTCCTCATCTCTGCGGGGCACAAAATCAAAATTAAAATATTTAGGTTAAGCATATTTAAAAAATCCAACTTACAGCGCCCATTCCAGGGGTTTAGTTTTAATGGCCTGGTACAGCGACTTGAGCACATCCTTGGGAAAGTTCTCGCCATCGTTGAGATCTGCCAGGTTGTCAACGAACTCCGCACAGCTCATCTTGCGATTCATATTCTGGCCGTGCAGATCCGTGTTCAGCAGCATTATGGCACAGGTCAGCGTGTGCACGGCGTCCTGCGAGTTGAAGGTGCCCGGATTGCAGTCGAGGAAGCGCTTGGAAAAGTGCACCAGCACTCGCTCCCGTTCCTGCGTTTCGCCGGACAGCGAGAATTGCTGCAGGAATTCGCGCAGCGCCTGATCGAGTGACTTCTTCTCGAAGGTGAAATGCTTGAGATACTCATCGGCCACCGCGCGACTAAAATCGTTGCTATAAATTGAAGGACATTGAAGTTTAGTAGAGGTTTTATTATAAATCTGCTTAAAGCAGTGGTGCGCTCAGCCCTATGCACACAAAAAAATTATATTAAATTTAGTTTCTTTTCAACACTAATTGAAATGAAATTAGTTTTGGTTTTCCCTCATGTTTTTCTTGAATTGTGTAGACAGTTTTGAGCACACCTCTCGGCTTACATCATCTACTCACTTTTTGCTGAGGTGTCGCGACACATCGCTCTTCTTGAAACCATCGAGGGAGTACAGTCTTTTGGCCAGCCGAATGGCCGAGGGCATGTCCACAGCCTTGGGAGAGTAGTGATAGGAGTGCAGCGACTCCACATCGCTGCCATCATCGGAGACGGGCGGCGAGGCGTCTCGCAGACCGATGGCCATCGTGCCCAGCGGCTGCTCGTCCGTCAGCGTGACCACATCCTCCTCGGAGCGGCCACCGCCACCGACGCCACTGTTGCTGTTGCTGTTGTCCAGGCCGCGCACTTGGATGACCACCTTGTGCTCGGATTGTTCTCGTTCCCTATCCCTCTGCTGTTGCTGATGGGCACGCAGCTGCTGCTTGAGCTGCTGGCGCTGCAGGGCGGCCGCGTCCGAGACGAGGATGGTGGAGTCCGAGTCACTGAGATCGCTAAGTACCATGCCGCCTAGAATATCGCGAGAACTCAATAAGTTATCGTCGTCTTGGTAGTCGGGACTAGATATATTCGAAATGGCCTCTGAGACGCTCTGATCGTTGTTGCCACCACCACTACCGACACCGACACCTCCACTTCCACCACCAACACCACTACCACCACCTGGACAGCTGAGCAGGCCGGGAATGCCGTTGGGCGGTTGGGCAACCTGTTCCCGCTGCTGCTGTTGCTGCTGCATGGCGGCCATGGGACCATTGCTGCTGCTGCCCAGGCCCAAAGCGCCCTTAGAGCCCGACGAGGACATCACCGACGAGGACACCGACGTGGGCGAGGCCGGACTGCCCACAGCCGAGTGCTGGGGCGACGAACTAATGGAACTTGAATGTGAATTTGAATGCGATTGCTGACCGTAGAGTTGCTGCTTCTGTTGTTGCTGCTGCTGTTGCTGATGTTGCTGCTGGAGTTGCTGCTGTTGCTGTTGGAATTGCTGCTCTTGCTGCTGCTGCTGTCGCTGGAGGGCCGCCAACTGGTGCGGCTGGAGTGGGGCATTATAGGTCCAAACGATCCGATCGCGATCCGATGCCTAGGATTTAGCAACAAAACAGAGATTAGTGATATAGAAATTACAAGGGTTTTTTGTTTTTGTTTTGTAAGTTAATCGATATTTATGCTCTATGGATTATTTGTCAGATCTCGAATTTTTCCATTTGCCGTTGCCCAATCTCTCTTTGGGGAGTCCTAAACAATTTTCCGAGTGCTGAAAGCGTTCGGTGGGTGTCTGTTCTGTGTGTGAGTGAGTGGGTGTTATGGTGTGTGTACGTTGTGGACAAGCATTTGGTGGCGAGAGGTTCTGTTCTCATCTTCTACATACAAAACTGTTCCAAGCGCAGGCAACAAATCAAAAGTGGCAAAATCGTAACGAAATCGAAATCAAAAGTCACATTAATCAGCATGCCAACTATGCAAATGGCAACCTTTTTGCATAAAATATAGTTTAATTTGCTGCTGCAGTTCATCGTTCTCGTTGATGTTGCTGCTGCTGCTGCTGCTGCCGCAGTTGTGGGTGTTGCAGTTGCAGCTGCAGATGTTGCTGCTTCGTTGATGTTGCTGCTGCTGTTGCAGTTATTGTTGTCGCTTGAGATGAGGCTGCTGCTGCTGCTACTGCGGTTGTTGTCGCTCTGCTCACCCTCGTTGTTGTTCGAGGCCAATGACGAGTTGTTTACAATTACAGTGGCCATCGACTAGAAAGCTCACGCGGGGGACAATAAATTGCGCATATCAAATCGAATCGAGAAGAGTCAAAGTAGGAAACAGAGAAATGAGAAACGAGAAAACGAAAGAAGAAAGAAATCCGAAACAAGAGAGTAAGATAGACAGAGAGTTGTTTAGTAGTAAGTAAGTTAAGTTAAGTTTAGTTAAGTAGGAAAGTTCAAAGTAACAAGTGAGCAAGAAAAACAGTGGGGTTGGGTTAAGGTATGGGGATGATGATTGGATGATATGGAATGGCTTATAGAACAATGCTTTGACTAACACACACACGCATACACATATATATATATATATGGACAACAGACTACAGAAACCAGTTAACAAAATCCGAACTCTACAAAAGCACAAAGTAACTCTTCAACTACGAGTGTCGAGTGTTGCGAGGGGAGATCTGGCTGAAGGAAAATTCGACTGTTCGCTGTTCTAGTCTGGGTGGCTAGGTAGCTAGCTCTATCCGGCGATCTATCCTGCATGAAGTGGAAGTGTGGCTAAGCCCGCCTCACCTGCGAATCCTCGGAGTCCTGACGCGTGTCCAGCAGAGTGTTCAGCGAGCTATTCACATCCTCATCGATGTCGATGGGTATCACGGCGGCGATGCCCTCGCGCTGAATCTGCTGCAGATGGTCCTCGGACTTGCTGGTGCGGAAGCCGGCGGCATCGCACTTCCGCACCACATGTCCGTTGTGGCGGCGCACCACCACCGCTCCGGCACCAGCTCCACCACTGCTCGATTCCGGCGCCAGGGAGCTGGGCTCCGGGCTGGTGGGCACCGAGTTGGCCGTCTCCTTGTCGATCAGCGGCGTCGACAGCGAGATCGGGGAGGTTGGCACTGAGAAGGAGGTCTCGTCCAGGCCCAGGCCTCCGCCCGCCTCGCTCTTGACCGTGGTGGACGAGGATCCCGATCCTGAGCGGCCGGCACAGTCGACGGCATCACGGTTTCGGTGGTGGGGATGCTGCTGGCGGGTGGCGGTGCGCTGTTTCAGCGCCCGCAATCTCTGCTTGGCCGAGCCGGAGCCCAACGAGTTGGTCGAGTAGTCCTCGTCGCCGGCATCGTTCTCCTCTTCGTCGTAGGGCTCCTCATCGTCGTCGTCGTCGTCCACCAGGCACTGCCGATCGCTGTCGTCCTCATCGCCCCGGCCCAGACCGCTCTGGTAGGTATCGATGTTGGTGATGTCGTAGTGCGTTTGATCCTCCTCCCGCTCCTCCTCAACCTCCACCTGCTCCTCCTCCAGCTCATCCTCGTTTTGGTAGTATTCGTAGCGTTGCTGATTCTGCTGCTGCTGCTGCTGGCGATAGCGATGTTGCTGCTTTTGGCGGTGTTGCTGCTGCCTATTGTTGTCCTCCTCTAGGACATACTCGCCCTCCTCATCCTGCTCCAGCTCCTCGCACATCAGCAGTGTGTCATTGGTCAGTGAGTCCTTGCGGTTGTAGCTATTGTTAATGCTGTCCCGCTGCTGCTGCTGCTGCTGTTGTTGTTGTTGCTGCTGGTGAGGCTGTTGTTGCTGCTGCTGCTGTTGTTGTTGCTGTTTCCTCAGCAGCTTCGCCTCGCGCTTCACCGAATCCGAACTGGTGTTGGTGGGCGAGTCCACCGAGGAGGAGGAAGTGGGCGAGGACTCGCCGGAGGCACGAGGTGCTAGAGCGCCATTGATGCGCGAATTAACCAGGCGACTGGGTGAATCCCGGAGACTGTCCACCTGGAAAGGCAAGATGTTTTACTTATTGAATCTTTACTGGCATTAATATTATATACTTTTTTGGCCTGGGCGGGCAGGGGATTGCTGGTCTGTGGTGTCCGGGACAGGTTGAGGATCAGGTCGCCGGTCATCATGTAAGCCTCAAAGCGTGGTGCCTTCGCCGGCTGCGGTGGCGCCGAGTTGGGTTCCGGTTCTCGCTCCTGATCCCGTTCCGTAAACCGCTGCCTGGTCACCGGACTGCCGCTGTAACTGTTCGAATGCTGCAGCGATTGCGGCGGCAGCTGGGCCGAATGTCCGTTGCCGTTCCCGTTCGACGCCTTTGTCGGTATCTGGGAGGGGCGTGGCCGCTTATTCTGGGGTGAATGGAGAACGGGCACGGGCTTGGGCACGGCGCATTTGGTCAGCGCCTGTGGAATGCGAGAGGGGCGGAAGGTTGGCGAGGTGGCCTCGCCAGTGGGCGACGTGGGACCCACTATGCCCGTGACCGAGGTGGTAATGCTCGTCTCCACCACCTTGATCTTGGTGGAGCTGGCCGAAGAGTTGCGACTGTGGGTTTGGCTGTGCGTATGCGTGGCGGTCTGGGTCTGGATCGTCTGGGTCGCAGCTCCACTTGCCAGCAGTGGCGATGAGTTTTGGCGCAGCGAGGGCAAGTGCGTGGGCGACTTGTAGCGCAGTCCGCTCTGCGAGGGCGTGGTCGCCGCCCCCTTGCCACCGGCGTGTGGCGACCGGTGATTTGGCGAGGAATTGTTGCTGCCGCTGTGATAGTCGTAGATATTTGGCGACTCAATGTCCACATAGTGCGGACTCTGGGTGTTGGCCAGCTGCTCTTTGATTCGCGCCTTGAGCTTGGGATCTGGATGGGGAAAAATGTGAATATTAGTTAGTGATTTAAAATGATTTTTGACTAAGATGCAATCCGATCAAACGATTGTCGTTTGAATATAGTTTGGGATTCGGTAAAAAATTAGTATATACAATGCTATCATAAATAGGCATTGTGTCCTTTTTAAAAATGGCTTACGCTTTGGTAACAATTTTGTTGTCTTTTTATTAACAAATATATGTTACAGTATTACCTTTTTATTTTATGCTTAAAAATTATGCTTTTGTTCACAAATTCAAATTTACTTTTCAAATATACAATAGCAAGTGCACAATCGAATTGTGCTTTAATTCACAATCGAATTTACTTTTTCCAATACAAAACAGTTATCTCAAATTCGTAAATATTTTATAAAAATAAAATGCTTGTCCAGCTACAAAGAAACAATAAAAAAAAGCTATTAATGTTTATTGAAACTTTGTAAGTTTAAGTTCCAGTGAATATAGTCCAACAGCTTTAGCAAAATAATTTAAATCTAAAAATCGCAGACATTTGAATGTGCACATGTGGTAAGTGGTAAAGCCGTTCGGTTCGGTTTAGTTCAGTTAATAGTGTTTTGGTTCTAAACCGGTTTGCATCCCTGAAGATTGGTATACATTTTCACCTACCTCGCTTCAGCTCCAAGGTCACCAGCTGTTCCGACAGGCGCAGGCATTTAAGAACTGTTTAAAAATACGTTGCAGTTAGTTATTTAAACTTTTCTTTACCCATTCAGTAGTTCCCATTAGCACTCATGAGTACTCACCTTCCTTCGTTGTGTAGCGATGGACATCCGTTCCGTTGACTTTAAGGATGACATCCCCGGCCTCAACCTGCAAAAGGGCCAGAGAATCCGAATTAGTAGGCATAGAGAATCACTTGGCAATTGCCCTGCCCCTCGATTATATTGACAACGCAATGGCAAAAAGTCTATTGATTTTCCTTCGACTCGAGCTGCGAACTGCGAGCTGCGAGCTGGGGCTCTTTGTTATTATTATTCGCATGTTGGGCAGAGCCAAAACCCCGGCTGTCGGCACTTGTAAACTATTTTTAATTTTCTTCTCGATGGGCCCATCGCAACGCGCGTGGAAATGCGGAGGGAAGGCGGAAAACAGCATGAAATCACAACGTCGTGGGACGACATTGGCGCCTTATTTACTTGCTGACGTACGAACGAGCAAAGAAGCTTTTCGGTGTCCGTATCCGGGGTTGAGTGGTACGTGGAGAACCTTCACCTCCGGACACCACTCATAGATTATTCAATAAATATGCTATAGGCCCTGGCCATGGGGATTTTCGGTGGATACGCGACACGCGCGCCTCATGAATTCATGGAAAATGCACAAGAAGCTCAAATTACTTTTGTGCTATTATTGCATAATTAGTTTCACGGGCTTCCTGACTTTTCCCCGGTCGTCTATTATTAATGCACAGGATGGTGTGCTCATATATTTAGTACACTATATGGGTGTGTACTTCCTTCGGAGACACTTGACGCGGAATTGCGGGCGGCAATTAAAACTAAAAGTCGCACTAACTTATGCTCTCACTAAATCGCTGCTGGGAAAGCCACGTTTTCTGTGTGTCTGCACAAGAGAAGTCTGCACTTGGCCCAGAGAGCGAGAAATGGGGGGAAAATCAGGGTAAGAGAGAGCGGAAAGTCTAGAAAATTTGCAGCGAGAGAGTGGGTGGTGCCGCCACTTTTCCACTTCCACTTGCACTTCCATTGCCGCTGGCTGCGATGCAATTCAATTAAAACTGTGCTTTAATTAATTGTGGCGTCCAGAAAATGTCGACAAAGTATAGTTACATAACTATATCACAACTGAAAAGTCAGTCACCCCATTTGTGCAATTTCTAGGCGAAAAGAAAGTCGAGCCCAAACCCGTAATGCAAATTTGACGTTTTCCCCCTGTGGCAGCAGCATCTGCATAACACGACAAAGGAACCCAAAGTATCCACTCTTTTGGCCACTTTGGAAACGTGTTCGCCGCCTTTGATAACAAGCCGCGATTAATGGCTTACAGCGCCGGGGAAGCTCTTCCAAATTCGATTAAGCACTTCGCCGTCAACCAGCAGGTGCAGCCGGCTACGCGCATGCAAAGAAATTGCTTTTGCATTTCACTTTCACGCTCCGGAGGGGAGCAGCGAACGATAGCTGCGTTAAGATGTGTTTACAGTGGATCCCCGGTAATGCGAACTAAATTAACCATGTTTCTCTGTTTGTAAACGCTATGCATATTTAAATTTATGTGCACAACCTAATTTTATTATAATTGAAATTAAGAAATATAAATTATTTTGTTTAAATATAAATGAAATTGATTTTTTTAACGAATAGATATTTTGTCTCGACTTATATTATATTTTCTCCTAAATGATTCAAGTTTTAAGTTGTAGACAACAAGCATTTATTTAGAAAGTAAATTTTGTAATCCCTTTAAAAAAGCTTTAGAGATTTAAGTTCAAATTAGACTGCAAGAAATTGTTGGATATGGGTATTAAAATTCATATCTGCATTACCTTTTTAAAGAAAGAATTGTTTTCGCTTTATTCTGTAAGAATTTTTTTCCCTCAATATTTTTTCCAAAAAGGTTTTAAAGTTCAAAGTTCTGAGGCACAACAACATTTTAGAAATATGTTTGCCTAATTTGTAAATACCCTTTAAATAATATTAGAAATATCTGTTCAAATTAGGCTGCATTGATATTCTGGGTACCGGTGTCGAAAATATTTAAAGACATATGTATCTACGTAAGTAAATGTAGTATTTTCTTGGAATGAAATGTATAAATGAGCAATCCTAATGTTAGACCCTATTGCTTCCACCTTAATATCTAGTTCAGGAATATTCTTATTTTGTAAGCTGGCCTGTATACTGAAATTGAGATAGTGGGACCCCTGGGGGCAAAGTTGTTGAGTCGGGAAGGCAGGCAGGCAGTCAAGCTAGTCAAGCAACCAGCAACCATCAACCGACAAGCAACAACCAACAGCCAGCAGGCTGCACAGTTAAAAGTTAAATCAATCAGTTCCACTCGGCTGCCGCTCTCTCACCCGCCTGCACCCCTTGACTCCCTGACCTTTCTGACCCCGCTTGTTTGCTATACTGCAACTGCAACGCTGGCTGCTCAAATTGAAATTGGTTCGAATTGATTTGTTTTCACATCCAACGACACCAATGACAATTGGGTAGAGAGGTTCTCCTGCATTTCCTAGTAGCAGACCCATTCTAGTCGTATTTTTGGTCTGGTCGGCAGTCTTGTTTGCTATCCGCAATGTCTTGCCCCTATTCCAGAGGAAAACAAAGTCATACTGGGCGTTGACAATACGACCACAAGAGGATAAGTTGCACTTTGAGGGAGCAAAAACCATCATAACAGTGATTGCATTGCAATGAGACGTCTAGATATTAAAGATACAAAGGAATATTCTAAATTTCAGTTCTATTTATGCCATTTTTGGTTTAAATAGCAAGAGCGTTTGTTTAAACATTGATTTCATTCCTATTTATCTAGCAATTCAAACACTGTATAAGAGATTTCTTATTATTATTCATTGTTTCGTATTTTATTTACTTCAATTTATTTTTATTCAGATATTTAATTTAACTTTTATTCATTTTGGCAAACACATTTTGTACAAATATAAATCTAAGGTATATGGGCAAAATACAAATAAAAATCATTATCAGTTCAGGCATTTTTGTTTATTCTTTTTATTTTTTTCTGGTAATGGAAAGACGTTTTTCCTTTTAAATCAAATGTTTATGGGAATTTCCTTTAAAGAATTTGAACACGACACTAATGCAAAGAAAAACTTATCAGGAAATTCCTCATTTCCAATAATCACTTGCGAAGCCATTAAAATCTGATAATGCCAGTGTACCCAATACTATTTAGCATTCATGTCACTTTCGGCTTTCAATTACCGAGTACTTGAAGCCTAAATTAATGCCAAGTGAACAATGGTTTTTTTTCGTTTTTTTTTTTTGGGATTCTCCTTTTGTATGTTTTGATTTTGGTTCAATGACGCTTTATTGACACGAACTAAACCAATATCAATTAACAATAGCAACAACAGCACGCCCACGCGGTTGTATGGAGGTAAACAAGGCGATTGATTGATTGTATTAGCGACTACGACGACCTAGTCAAGTACGGTTCCGTGCACTACCTTCACCGTTATACAGCTGTGGTTATATATTTTTTGTATAGTAGATGGTCTATTGCCGCAGAGTCGTTGACAGACTGCAGTAATGGGAAAACCCACTAACCTCTTTTTCGCCGGAGCCCACAAAATCAATGTTGGGGCAGGCAGACAGATAAAAGGCAGCCAGGCAGCCAACCAGCCAGCCATCCAACCTGTAAATGTCGTCCGCTTTTCACGTGGGCGTCGCAAATGACGCACTCAACAGAAAAAATATTGAGACCCGTAGAAATCCGAGGTAGACCCACAAGTGGAGAGGTGGTAAGAAGGACGGCAAATTGAGCCATACACTTGGGACACTGTTATTGGACTAATGATTTTGCTATTTCTTTGGCTATTTGCATTCTAACACGACTTTGCAGGGCTTTGTTTACTCGTTCTGCCTTTCAGCACGGCACTTAGAGGTGTGGGGTTTACACTAGACATCAATCACACCTCCCAATTGATAGGAAATGGGAAAAACATAGAAGGAAAGTTGGCAAATTCGCTAATACTCCCTTGTGATATATACGTATCATAGTTTCAAATGGAAAGCTGTTTTAAAACTCATTTACATGAGGTAAAGAAATGTTAGCTTCCTAATTGAAGGCAAATAAACTTCGGTACTTTTGTATTTTATGAAAGTAAATAAGGAAAACGTATATAACATTTTTTAGCTTACGAATAGTAACTACAAAGTAATTTAATTCTCCTAACAGAAATGAACGACTTTGGTATATGGCACAAAGAGTTTCTCATGTGTCTCAATGGGGCGATATCCCTTATCATGTTTGCCTAATGAACATATGTGCTGAGCCCTTGGACAATAACAGATCAAATAAATAAGAGCGGCACACAAGCAAATATATATATCATATAGTCGCACCACTGGCTGTTTTATTTATTTTGACGACCTTGCAGGCACATCCATTGTGGATTTCCTTTCATATTTGCACCAAATAAAATGGGGGGAGCAACAAATTAGCATGAATTGGTTTATTTCATTATCATGCTTCGGTGGGTGTTGTGTAATCGCGGGAATCGGAAGTCGGTGAATGGTCTGAATGGGAATTGCGATTGCGATGTTATCGCTAGGGCCGCTTAGCTAAATAATTCCGGTGATGGGAGGTAGTGTTGTGCGGAACCCGTCGACCCATTATGCTAATCAAGTGCGAACTTGCACAGAACTATGCCAATGGCTCAACTTGAGATTGTGGATGTGGATTGAGTGATTCACGCCCTGTCACCATAGATACATATATAGATGTGGGTTAGTGTGGGGTCGGGAAATAGCCTGCCTTAGCATTTTGCGAAAATAAACCTTCTTCGATACGCTCTCTCCGGATTCTGGGGCATGTTGTTTGCCCGATTTCTAACTGCCTAATTAAAAAGCTTGCCATGTCAACGGACACAGATTTCACTGATGTTTTGCCCTGCACTTTGCGAGGCAATGTCTAGTAATTATATCGTAAGCTAAATTTAAGTTGTTATATAAAACGATTACATTTTTGTTCTAGGAAATTATCTTAATCTTTTAGACACAGGTATTATTTGTTATTAAAATGCTATTAATATTAACCTTTGATTTAAAACAAATTACCTACAGAAAGCCTACTATGTTTTCACAATATATATACATATGTACATCATGACAAAAAATCATAGAGAAATGAATATGAAACATTGAAATTTGCGTTCGGTTTGTCTTAAGCTTCAAGGTCGGGTATCTATTGCGTCACAAGTTTAGCAAGCTTAAATCAATGATTTAGCCTGCTTTATTACCCTCCTATTACTTTGTGTTTTCTGTAATGTAAATATCCGAAAAATATGCGCACTTTCTGTGCCGGAAAATCGAAATAGACGGGATGTTTGTGTGTGTCTGTTGGAGCAGTGGAATTTACGGCTGTTGTGAGAGTGCGGCTCGTGCGGGATTTGCATTTGTGCGAAACGCGTAAAAATGAAACTGCAACAAGAACGAAAAGTAGAGACACCAACAACAAATGTTTTTCAAACAAAAACTTTTTTTGTATAGTTGTGTGTGTTTTATTGAACATTTACGCTACACTGAGCGAATCATGTTGACTCAAGCTAAGCTACCTAAACTGTTCTCTGACTTTTTAATGAATCAATAAACTTTTTCAAGTCTTAATATGTTAAAGCAGTATTGCTATAAGGTTTTAGTATTCTTTAATACATTTGATTTCATACGGTAGGCCATAATTGTGAAAGTACTCTTACAGACATTTGATATTTCACTTTTTACTAGCAACAATAAAAGAATATACATCATATCTTTGAATATTTAAACGACATGAACATAATTCATAACGTAATATGAATTAACAATATATAATTCTTAAATTTATTTTTTAGAAAAGGAGAAATTTATAAATATGAAAAAGTAAAGGCATATTTTAAATATTTTCGTGTTTGATCTATTTGGTGTTTGTTTTTTTTTACATATTATTTTCAATTTGAATTTGCATTCAACAACTTCTTTTATGTGCATCTATTGCTGATAAAATGGTTTTTGCCCTATTTTAAACAGTGTGCCTAGGCAGGGTTTATTTTTGTTATTGATTTGCATTCGCCTTGGTAGCAGCATTTGCAAAAATGGCAAATGTGGGCCAGAAACTCGCAAAAAAAAAAAGGGAGAATAAAAACCCAACTAAAGGGGGGTAAAAAGCCAAAGCAAGCCGGCTAATTGAGCATTCCAAACACAAAAAAGGGGAAGGAAACAATGGGGTGAGGTGAGATGAGATGCAATGCGATGAGATGGGCCGAGAAGTGCTGCCACTCCATTTGCAGGCAGACAGCCGCCAAGTGGACTCGGACTCGGATTCGGATTCGGATGCACTGCACCTCCTTCTGTTGCATTTGTTGCATCTTTGGCAATGCTTGGACGCACACACGAACGAGCTACTGCTACTGCGACTGCGAGTGCGAGTGGGCAAATAATGAGTGAGCGAGCCAGCGAGCCAGCGAGCACAAACAACGCCAAATATAAATGCTCGAGATTTAGCGCAAAGTTTACTGCTACCGCTCGCCGGTAAGCTTTCTACAACACTTTTTGCATGCCTGAGTTTGAATCTGAGTCAGGCAGTACGATAAGTGCCAAGCACTTGGCTGTTTAATAGCCAAAAATGGCTAAAAAAAATCTCTTAAAATCTCAGACGAGTTGTGAGTTCAAAATCAAAAATAAGAGTGTCTCAAAAATGTTGCCAAATTTGAAGTATAACTAAAAATTCATTGTTAATTCATTGTTGTTTGGTTAAATGAATAATCTGGCAAGGAAATAAGTTGAAGGAATATGCATTTAAAGTAAGGGCCTAGCCTTAAACAGTGTGCTTTATGAATCTAAATGGTACTCTTTGTCATCTCTGGATTGTTGGCCAGCTGAGTGCCTTATGCACTTATTGTTCTTATTATTTCTTTGACTGTTGTAGTTGCTGCTACTACTTCCACTGCTGCTCGCTGTGCCGTGGCGTGCAACGAACCGCAGCGGCGGAGCGCACACAGAGCCACTCATACACCTCAGACCTCCATCTCCTCATCCAACTCTATCCCCTTTATTTCCACCTCCCAATAGGGGGAAAAAAGTACCACCCCCAAAGCTCAAACTCAAGAAAAGCCGGGTCGAATGGAACTGAGCTCAGCCGGGTTGAATTCGAATTTAACATAGTTGGGCTGGGCCGACTGCCATCAAACAGAAAGCTAAAAGTAGCAAGAAAACCAACTTAATAAACGCGTGCGCAATTTTCCTACTTTTGTAATTCAATTAAAGCGAGTTTACTCTACTTTTTTGCACTTTTGACTCCAAGTGAAACGAATGAGAGGGGGAAAATATATGGACAGAAAGGCCTTATTCGTAAAAGCTGCCATTTGAATACTCTATTTAAAGAGGAATACCAAACTTTTACATTTGTTAAAAACTAGCATTCAATGTCGAATGATTGATTGATTACTAGTGGTACTGAAGCTTTTTAAAGTAATAAAAAGTGCAGTCTTAAATAAGGTCATTTAATGGAAGAAAAAAAAATTAAATATCTTCTTCTTATAAATAAAATTTTTTTAAAAATGTGAGTGATCTTTATTTAAGTAACCAAAGTAAATCTTTGCTTTGAAGACATTTCAATGATACTTCCTGTATACATAGGATAAAAACTGAAACTCCTCACTCCAGAAGAGCATTAAAAGCAGAAGCTAAAGCGGTATCCCAATCTCTTGACATTTACTTCTATCTCGCAATTGTAATCGAGTAAATGCTTGTTGCTGGATTGTGCTTTTCAGAGCTTGAAGTTGGCCGACCTGCTCGACTTTGTGTTGTTATTTGTTGGGGGCTCTTCTTGAACGTGTCAATTGTCATTACCGACAATTTGCCAAAGAAAAGAAAGGGGGAAGCGATGATCGGGATTGTAGTGGCAAACAAGCCCATTTCAAGGCGGAAAATCAATAAATAGCTAAGAGAAGCAAGAGCTTCTTTCATTATTTTTGTCCCCCTTTTTTGTTGTCTGCGACTTGTCGGTGGCAATTAATTTGTTACTAGCAGCGGGCGGAGCCACACAACTGGCAGAAGCAACAACAGCAACAACAGCAACAACAACAATGGGAACAATGACAACAAAAGCGGCAACAGCGAAAAGTCGTTTGTCATTTCCAGTTAACGAGTAATTAAGCATAACGTTAGAATTTTGCAACGACGCCAGTTGAGAACAAAAGAAGCTACGAATTTCGAAGGAGAGGAGGCGCAAATGACAGCGAAAAAGTCTGGCGAGGCATACACATCTGATGTTTTAAAAAGGTTTTTTTCCAATTTTTTGTTTGCCCTAAAAAACGCGAATATTAAATTCTTTTCCTTGAACAGCTGAGAAAAACCATGTTTTTGAGAGGCGAGAAGAGAGCAAATTACTTGGCACCCCAAAAGATTAATGACTAAAACATTATAAATTTTGAAAACATAAACAACCAGGTTTTGTTTTTGGTAATGGATCATGAGTGCTAAACGTGTGTGTGGGGGTTAACCATAAAATAAATTTTACTTTTTTTTAGAAGTAAAGCTCTTTAAAGTGTGAAATATATATTTTACAAGTATTAAAAAATTTAATGCTAATTCATCAAAAAAAAAAGGTTTGTGAATTGTAAAGTCTGTTTAAATCGGAGTAGAAATATGCACAATTAATGCACAATTAAAATGCACTCAAAAGCACAGACTTTTGTCATCGTGCGAGTATGGAGTATACTTGATATTATAAAGTTGGAGAAGTGGGAAAATAAACAAACGCAAGGCAAATGCATGGGCAAACAACAACAAACAGAGAGAGAGAGAGAGAGAGAGACTGCAGCGAACAGAAGAAAAGGAAAGAAAATGGAAGTGGAAAATGGAAAAGCGAAGTCGACAAAAGACAACTGACGACGACAGCGTGGACAAACACATGTACTTACATACAGTTTTGTACACACACCCAGTTGAGAGTGTGTATGCTTGCATTCATTGAAAAATAAAATTATACCGCAACCAGAATGACGGCATATAAAAAGTAAAATTAATGGCACTCAAGGGGCCGACGTGTTGGATACTCATTAGGTTTTAAGATTAGGAGGGGCTGTAAGTTGTTTTTTAACCTTTAGAGCTGTCTGGGCATATTTTTAATCTTATTAAAGTATTTTAAATAAAAAGTTAGTCAACGTTTAATAACGTCATCAGAAATATATAATTAAAACTTTCATTAACTAAGCAAATATTGTAGGTTTTATTACTTTTTAAATTTCATAGTTATTTTTGAATTGTATTGTTTAAAAGATAGTGTTTCTGAATTGTTGTCAAGTTTCAGATTGCATTAGATCTAAAACTAGTCAGATAAGGTTTTGTAAATAATTGACAAAAACTAGATAAATAAATATAAGCAATTTCGAGAAACCATAGTTTTTGTATTTGTTTTTGGGATACCGATACCTAAAGTGCCAAGTAACACTTGCACACCCACTTTATAAGGAGTGTACGATAGAGAGACGACAAGACAAGTCAAACAACCACAAAACAAGCCGGGCAACAAAAATAACAACAAGTTGTAAGCGAAAGCGATAAGAAATTGAAAAAGTGCGTGCCGCTGCGTCTATTAAAATATATAGAGGTATGTATGTATGTATATATGTTATACACATATGTCATTTCAGTTCGTTGCCTGAAGACAATTACCCCGATGCATTTGTTTTGCTTTTCGTCATACCTGGCTTGTGTGGAATTACTTAATAATTTCAACAATTTAAAATTCCCAACGCGTTTTTTGCACTCTGCTTTCACGCACTTCGTTTGTTGTTTGTTTCGAGACCAAATTTTCGGTGTTTTCAGTGGTCGGGTGCATAAATTTAAAAACCAAAGCCGGAGAATTCAGTTTGGTTTTGGTTTTGGAATCGTGTAAATCGTTTATTGTTGCCACGTCCGATAATTACAAAGTAAGCCTGAGTCTGTTGGTGTGTTTGCATATTTATTTTTGAAACGTTGTCTTTGCATGCCTTTTTATAGCGTTGCATTTGCATTTTGTCGATACGTTAACTTAGCTTTGCACTTCTTTCCAATTGGAGTTGCACAGAGAAATTACTAATAATTGAAATGTGCCCCACGTAAAGTCCGTTCTTATCCAATATCCGCTGGGTGAGTTCAGTAAAAAGTTTTTCCCAGAAAACTGAGTTAATTATGACTACAAAAAAAGCGAGTTTCTAATTAAATGTTTACTTAATTACTCAGTTAAGATACAAATGTTTGCTACAAAGAAGGTTAAATAAAAAGAATTTTGACATCAGTTTCCTGCTAGAGTTTATTTTTAGTTTTCTACATCAGCAAAAATACTTAATTTTAAATCATAATAAACTAGTTAAAGATTGTTTATAGTTTCAACAGATTTTTGTCCTATTATCTGTATTGAATATTGGTAGTTCTATTGAATTGACAATAAATTGTGCTTTGTACGGGCAAAATCAATTGAAAACCAAACACATATTGACATTTTATTTTAAAAATATTTATCTTACTTTGTTCCTAGTATTTACTTGCTTTTGTTTTCTTTTGCACTCGGCTCTAAACATTTGTGATGCGATGCGATGACAGTAAATAGTAAATAAAAGCAAAACAAACCAGAAAATTGATACAGTGTCTTTTGTGTGTCTTCCCCCACCCACAGACACCCCCTTCTCCCATCAATTAAAACAACGATGACATCACGGGCGGCAAACAATGATGACACGCCAACGGAGGACTCTCATTTCGCTTTTTTGTGGCTGTGCAAATTGAAATGCTTTCACATACGCCAGACAGCAATACACCCATGGTCATCACCATAAAAAAGTGGAAAAGTGGAAAATATTCTTATCAGCAGACGAGGGGCGGGCCGCTTTGCATACAGTCAAACTTCTAAAACTACTACTAGCATCTGCCATACAAAAAATGTTCCTATCATTTACATAAAGACATATATATGTATATAAAAACACGTATGCACTGAGTTAGATAAAAAGTGAGTAATTGAATTTTCCATTTTCAAGCTTATGTAACTGCCTTATTTCTAATTCCGGTATAAAAATATATATTCGAACACCAGGTCTAAAAAAACGTGAATACCATTTCTCGGAATGAAGTTATTTTCACATAGAAATGCGCAACAAGAGACGACATCCACGTGTCCTATTTGTTTACCAAATGACAATACAAATGATCTTATAAAAATAATTTTGATTATTTAAAATTAAAACTGATTTAAATTGGCCTCTTGAAGCTATTTAGCAACAAGAATAACTCTGCGAAAGTGAAAAAAGAGGTTTCTACGAAAAATGCGTCTAGGGAGTGTTACCTAGAAATTGTTTCAGTTTCAAGGAAGATCCACTGTTTTAAAATTCTGAGAAATTTAATCAAGTTGGGAGAAATTCTACTAAAGCTTAGTTTCAATGCGTGTTTTGTGTGTGTGTGTTTAAAATAATAATGATAATTACTGGTTTAAAAAAAAAAAATCACTTTAATTTTCAGTTATGTAAAAAGTTAGTTTTTAAAAATATTCTGAATGTATTTTTCGAGCATTAATTGGTTTGTTAAAATCAATTTTTTTTTACCCTCTACTAATATTTTGCGCCCAGTTGTGTGTGATTCATAAAGGCTTTAATTATCTTTAACAACGCAAGGCCATCTAAGATGTAGTGGAACATTTATCAAAGATGTTTGTTTAGGGGACGTTCTACTGTAGCAAATTGTAGCAGTGCCAAAAGTGAGGCCAACAGGGAGCTGTTGCTGTTTTCACAACGCGGTGGTTGATGAAGTCACAGATGGGTGGGGAGGGAGTAGCCAGTGGGTGGAGATTGGACTGGGCCACTTCTGTCCCACACGGGAATGACAGACACAAAGGACAAAGGAGTGTTTTACTTACCGCTCCGCAATCGGCTGCCGGCGAATTCTCGACGATGTCGTAGATGACATGTGGCGGTCCGGTGGTTCCGAGCAGCGAAAACCCGAATCCGGAGTGCTGCTCGCTGCGGCGCAGCACCACTTTCAGCTCCTCGCTCATATTTTGGCTCCTCCTCGTCCTTTTTTCTCCTGCTCCCCCGATCGGTTTTCGTTACCCCTCCTGGGTGTATTTAATACTCCGCCACCTCCTTGCAAACGGGCACTTTTCTTAGTTGCTTTAATTAATTCTCGTTTTGGGCTTGGCCAACTTCATTTGCACTCAGACAACTGAGACACTCTCGTTTAATTTCCACTCCACTCACAACACGCACACACACACACACTAGCACGGCACACACACGCACACCCACTCACAAGGACTTCAAAAGAACTGAAAACTCCTTGGCGATTTGTTGGTTTAAACATTAAACATTGCATTTATTTCGGCGTGGCTTTCTTTTCACGCAATTTTCGTTCCACGCAAACTTGTTTAATTTTTCCCTTCTTCTTCTCGCTTCTTTCAGTCGGTTTTGTTGGGCTGTTTCGCCGCCGCTGTTTTGCGGTTCGCGGGGGGCTTTTAGCCGCACATTTTCGGGCGAACGTGGGTGCCAGCTATCGCAGACATTGCTGTCCAACTTTCTGGCCACAATTCACGCTGATTATTGCTTAAATTTCGCACAAAACGAACCGAAACGCGCGACCGTTGGAGACATAGAGATGGGGAAACATCGATGCCTACATCGACGTCATCGATGTTTCTTAAAATCGGTTTCATCGATGTTTTTAAAACATTGGTCCTATCGATGTCTGGCAGGCATTATCGATGTTTATCAATCCGTTGTAACGATATTTTCTTGCTACTGTTAACTTCTCACTCCAGTTCTTGCGCAATTCACTCCATTTCTTGCACACTTTCTGTTAAAATTCTTAACATCTGCAGAAATGCACTCATTATCTCTCCTAACAGAAATGTTAAATCATCAATTTCCTAATAGAAATGTTAGACATTTTGGCGGGCAATTTAAAAACATTAATAATTTTTTACTTCCTTTACTTAAATAGTACGTTTAATACATACAAACATAATGTGAATATTATTACCAATAAAGTGCCGCTCTACTACATTATAAAATCTAGTTTTTCGCTTATCTCGAAACAAAATTGTCTGGATGTCTCAAGGGTGTCGTCAAGTTGACGACTATATACGCGCTAAAAAACCAATTTAAGTCTACATTTGTACAAAATGTACACTGCAAATATTCATACTCGTTACTCGTAGAGTGAAAGGGTACATTGTATTCGTTGAAAAGTATGTAACAGGTAGATAGATAAGATGGTGTCTCTGTAGCTGCTCGCTCTTTGATTGTAGTGTTGTCAATGCAGTGCGGCAGATGGCGCCAGCTACAATCTGATTGTTTTCTGAGAGAACATTTGTTTTGAAATATGTTATTTTTAATAGTCGCGGAACTCGACGTTCTCTCGCGTTTTTTTTTTTTTTTTTAATTTTATCAAAGTCCGAAACTATTTAAATCTCATTCTTAGCTTATTTTCCCCATCCCTTTTCTGGGCCACGCGCTGAATCGACCATTAATTATGATATCAAACTCCGCTTTGGGCTGGGAATCCATGGATCTACGCTCAGTAGCCGCTGGTAATCCACTGAATCAGATTTAAAAGCGCGTGCAATTGCGACTTTCAGATAAATCTCCGACTTGGTTTTACGACCTGCCGACGTTTGCCTATTCAAATTTTATAGCTGCCCGCACAAAGCACTTGACTCATCATGGCATTTGCAGGCCCTCCTCCTGCACATCCACTTCCGTTTCTGACCGGACGACGGGGGATCGGGTTCGGGATCGGATTCGGGTTTGTTGTGACAACAGCTCGTAGGCAAAGACAACAAGCCGATCTGTGGGTGTCATAACCACTCATACTCGCTGCGATTCGGGGTCTTGTGTGTCCAGATGTTGCGCACAATTATCATATCAGCAGCACATCATTTGCGGCTAAGTGAAATGGCAGATTGGACTGGCACACTCTGTGAGTCTTCCTTAAAAAGCGGCGCTTTCGAGTCCCAGATCTCAGTATTAGCTTAGCCCTACAACCGGAATGAAGAACTCCCACGCGAACGCAGATTACGAGTCCTGCTACTACGAGGATATAACAAAATCGTGGCTTAATCAAACCGAAGGATACACGGACTGCAGTTACGTGTACAGCCAAAGTGTGACTTCAGCCTATGTGGAGTACAATAAAATTGAGGCTAATTGGTGTGCCGAAGCCACCGAGCAATGGTTACAGAGTGGGGCAACTGCTGGCCAGGATATGCCAAAACAAACGCCAAAGCCGCGATCGACAACATCGAATCGCAAGGAACGCACAGCCTTCACGAAATCGCAGCTCAAGGAGCTGGAAACAGAGTTCTGCTACTCCAACTACCTGACCCGTCTGCGTCGCTACGAGATCGCAGTGGCCCTGGAGCTGACGGAACGCCAGGTGAAGGTGTGGTTCCAGAACCGTCGGATGAAGTGCAAACGCATCAAGCTGGAGGAACAGCACCCGGAAGCGCCACCAAAACACAATTCTAGTTTGTACAAGGACATATTTTAACACAATTCATCTTACAAAATGTTTCGCTTACTTAACAACTATAGTAAAGGTATTTTAAGCTACTTCTTGGACTTCTTGGCCTTTCCCTTGGGCAGGGGTTTGGCCAGCGATTTGGCTGCGGCCAGCTGCAGTTTCTGGGTGGCGGCATTCTTGGTGCTCTTCACAACCGGAGCGGGTTTCTTCTTTTGCACACCGCCAGTGCCGGGCTTGCGCTTCAGCTTATCAGTCAGGCCAGCCTTGTTTTTCTTTTTGGGCGGCGGCGTCGGCAGTTCCTCCTCTTCGTCGCTGTCATCGCTGGCCTCCTCCTCCTCTTGCTCATCGAGCTCCAGCTCAGATTCATCATCCGAAGCGTCTACGTAGTCCTCATCATCGGAGTCCTCGTTGATGGTGGTGCCCAGCAGGTCCTCCAGCTTTGGCTCCTTCTTGGCCGCCTGTTTCTGTTTCTTGCCAGCTGTCTTGACTGCTGCTGCTGCTGCTGCCTGGCTCGTAGATGCCTCGCTGGCCACTGCTTCTGTGGATTTCTCTGTCTTCTTGACTGGCTCCACCAGTAGGCTGGAGAAATCAATGCCCAAGTCCTTGTACTTCTCCTGGAGCTTCTTAATCTTGTTGATGTTGGCCACGGTGCGCTTTTGGCAAGCGGTCTCATCCCAATTGTTTTGCTGCTTCACGCTGCGCTGCGTGGCTTTGGTCAAATTCGACACGTAGATTTCCTTACCGGCCTGTAATTGGTGGATATTGGATATTTGGTTGAGAAATGTAGTGCTACACTTGCGCCCCATCCGAACTGACCTTATTCTTGACCTTCTTTAAGGAGGTCTTGAAGTAGTTGAAGACCTGCTTCTCCGGCGGAATGTACGATGCCTTGACCACCTTCTGGAACATTAGGTAGTTGTCCATGGTGTCGGCGGCCACTTTGGCCACCTCCGGATATTCGAACTCCACGAAGGCGTAGCCCTTGCTGTTTCCGGTGCGCAGGGATCGGGCCAAACGGACGCGGAGCACCCGGCCGAACTGGCGGAAGTACTGGCGCAACTGCTGCTCGAAGAATCCGTGGGGCAGGTGCTTCACAATGACCACGCCGCGTTCCGGACCCTTTGGCTTTTGGGGCTTGGCCTTGGCCACCTTTTTCTTCAGCTAAAATGGATGCAGTTTACGGTTATCCTCCGGAGCGAACGTTGTTTTTGTAGTGCCCTACCTGGCCGGAAACCACATTCTTGGCTTTCTCAACGCTTTTCTTGGGCGTGGTCTGTTTCTCGATCTTTTGGGCCTTGGGTTTCTTAACAGGCGGCATTTTCAATTTGTATGTACTAGCTAAAATCAGTAATAAACGCGATACAAGTAAAACAAACTTCTAAAATCGCCGCACGTGGAGCAAGAACAATAACAAGTGTTGTAAAACGTTGTAAAACAAGTAAATGGTATAATTTCTCATATTTTGGTATATTTTGGTATTATTAGTTGGGGTGGTCACTCTTCGAATTTCTTATTTTGTTTCTTTTTGTTTTTGCGCATTTATTTTTGCCGCCAATTAATAATGAATGTATCTGCGGCATCGCTGAATAATTCCTTTCTGGAAGAGGACGAAGTACGTCTGGGCTATAACCATGAGAACATCATTATCTTCCTGAGCAAATCGTCTATCAGAGACCTGTTTCCCTATGCAAATGCCACCGAGGGCGCAAAGCAGGTAACTAACTTTGTTTTAACTTGTTTGTTGTTACTTAAATGTTTATATTAACCAAGTTACTAGATCGTTTTGTGCTCACCTTATCTGGAAAGCTTGTGCTTAATCTGGAAAAGCTATTGGATCTGTTTACCCTGTCCATTATGATGATGACATATCAGAGGGACAATTTGCTGTTGATGAATGAACGCTTTATGCTAGTGGATGTGGTTTGTCATCTGGCGGAGTCCCTGGATTCAGAGGAGGTAGTACCATCACTTGGCTCTTCTTCGTCTTGTATACTTATATCTTAACTACCCAGATTAACTATATGGCCACCGGTTTGTTCGAAAACCTGGTTACTGGCGTGGGCATGGAGCGCTTGGAAAAGGTTCTGGACATGCAGGCCGCCATTCCCGCCTTGGTGGAGTCCTCCAGACTTGGCAACGAAGTGGCAGTAGCTCTTCTGCTCACCATAATGGCACAGTATACGGGAGAGCCAGTTCAACTGGATAGCAGGGAAACTGTAAGCTTTTAATGCTGTCATTAAGTCTATAAATTATATTACCCGCTTTTTACAGGCCCGTCAGGCTTTTCAAATGGCCAAATTGATCAACTGGCAGCAGCTGGCGGACACTGACCGCCATGCGGATATGTATATGCTCATCCGCACGTTCAGTCTGATCATAAACTGCCGAAGCACACGCGAAGAGTGTCCTGATTGGAAGGATAACCTGGGTGCCGAGATACACAAATACTTTCTGCAGGTGCGGAAGGCATTCGACAAATCTGCGGCTTATGGGGCCTTCGAAATGATGGTATGTTTCGATATAGGCTTATTCCGAAACTATTTTGATATTTATTACTTAAAGATTGAGCGTTTCATTGCTTACTGCGTTGTCCGCGGAGCAACAACCACGTAAGTTCAATGGCACAAAGTGCAACTAAGTGAATAATTTACAATAGTTTTCTCTCACTCGCAGCCCTCAACTTTGCAACTACAAGATTTCCGAGTTAACTAATTCAGAGTCTCAAAAAATATTGGATTAAGTGTTATGTCTTTGTTATGGTTAATTAGATTAGTTAAGCTAAACAATATGTAAAAGTATGTAATGCATGAACCTAGGTTTATAGGAGCAGCGTAAGGGTTTTATGTGAATTCACATATATTAAGCATACAGCTAAGATCAAAAAAGATGACCAAATATTGAATCGTTAAGTATTAAAGAATTTAATTTTTTTTTTATTTAAATAAAATGAATTTGCTAATTTTATCAAATTGGCTGACATTGACCTTGACTTTTTAAACTCCCGCCTTTGCAAAAGTAATGAACGGTCATACTGGAGGTTGCGGCTTTTAAAATATCTGGCAATATTGGTCTGGGCATAAGATGTGGAGCTTTGAATCTTTAATAATTATAACAATTTCTAGGGTTGATGAGAATATTTATTTATTTAAAGCCTGCTAAAGATGCTTTATTTAGTTTAATTAAGCTAAACAAGCTGTAAAACCTGTAAAAGTATTTTTTAGTACCTTCCAGGGAAATCGAGATTTTTTGGCGCTCTGGATGCGGTCACACAACGCCCCACGGCACGTGTTGACTGCATTTTTAAAGGCGCTTTTAACAACATTTGGCAGGAGTTGCAGTGGCCGAGCAGTCGCATCAGTTGCCCAGGATGTTCTACCTAATCGGCCTCGGCCTTGGCGACCTCAAGGACATCACGGTCAAGGGTCTGGAGATAGTGAAGCAGTGCAGTCGCGTTTACCTGGAGATGTACACCTCGATTCTGGGCTGCAGCCTTGAGGAAATGGTAGGTATCTATTGGCATTCGCAAGCGCCCACACCCTTACAAACACCCTATAAACCTCACACAGCAAGAGTTTTACGGACGACCCCTGCTGCTGGCCGACCGTGATCTCGTGGAGCAGAGTGCCGATGAGATCCTGGCCGGGGCCGGCGAATCGGACGTGGCCCTGCTCGTCGTGGGCGATCCCTTCGGCGCCACCACCCACACAGACTTCATACTGCGCGCCAAGGAGAAGAACATCCCCTACAAGGTCATCCACAATGCCTCGATCATGAACGCCGTCGGCTGCTGCGGCCTGCAATTGTACAAATTCGGCGAGACCGTGTCGATTCCGTACTGGGACGAGACCTGGAAGCCGGACAGCTTCTACGACAAGATCAAGCTGAATCGCCTGCACAACATGCACACGCTGTGCCTGCTGGACATCAAGGTGAAGGAGCCGACGCCGGAGTCGCTGATGCGTAAGCGCAAGGAGTACATGCCGCCGCGGTTCATGAGCGTGGCGGAGGCCGCCCACCAACTGCTGTCCATTGTGGAGAAGAAGGACTCGCTGGAGAAGAACACGGTGCTCAACGAGCAGTCCCTGTGCGTGGGATTGGCCCGTGTGGGCCAGGAATCGCAGCAGATCGCCGTCAGCACGCTGCTCGACATGCGCTCCACCGACCTGGGCGGTCCGCTGCACTCGCTCATCATTCCCGCCAAGGAGATGCATCCGCTGGAGGTGGAGTTCCTGCAGCAGTACGCCGCCAGCCTGAAGCTGGACGACTACAACCACTAATATCGCTGCGAAAAATGAAAGAAAATACCTATTTAAGTGTCTAGGAAATGTTGTCTGTGCATCTAAAATTGAATTTACGAAGCAAGAGGAGCTGGAAGCTCAGGAAGAAAGTGAACGTGATATCGCTTGATGCCACCACCACCACCCCCGTATACGTATGTAGTCTGCCCCTCGGCAGCTGAAATAAAACCGCATTCACCCATCGTACATTACATCTCAGAGGCTTTAATGGGGATTAGTGGGTGCTGTTGCATATCATAGTATCAGTAGTAGAGGCCTCGCATGCGACGTGAGGATCCCTGGCGGTCGTACAGCATGTTAAACTTATTCACAAAGTGGTGCATATCGTTGCAGCCCTTGGTCAGCGTGCCCAGGTAGCTGATCAGGCCCACATCGTTGCACTGCGTGTAGAACTCCTCCTGGAAGGCGGGCACCTGCATCACGGGCAGCCGGTGGCACAGGGCGTACGCCTCGCGCAGAATCTCCTGGTTGGCCCGCAGTTTGCCAGACTCCACGTCCCGGATGTACTGCAGCACGATCTTGATGCGTGTGTTGAGCATCTTGATGGCGCTGTCCTGCGCCACCAGATGCTCGGCCACCACGCTCTTCTCGCCGGACTCGTTGGAGGTCATGCGGGCCACATGGTCGACGCCAATGCGCTCCGCCTCCTCGGTGGCCAGTGTGTAGGTGAGGGGCACGAACAGCATGGTGGCCTCGCCGTCCACCAGGTCGATGAGGGACTCGAAGAGCTTCAGCGGAAGATGGTCCACGCTGCGGGATAGTGGGTTCAGCTGCAGCATGATGGGACACTCGTTGATGGCGGCTATTTGTTTCTGGATCTTAATGTCATCGGCCGTGGGATTCTCGCCCGTTGTGTACCAGCCTATAAAGTCGAGATCGCTGAATACCTAAGGGGCACATAGAGATTTAGCTAGTTTGACAATGTGTGTGCATTACTAAGACATCCACCTGCTTGTACTGCTGCTCCTTCTTGTTGTAGTAATCCTTGTTGATCACCGTCTCATCACCTATGACATCCGTCTTGAGTTCAAACGAGTTCATAATCTCAATGTTGCGGCCCTTCTGCTTGCCAATTAGGGCTCCGTACACCTGCCGCGGCTCACCGTGCTGCGCCCGGAATCGTGTCCAGTGCTCCGATATATTCATTATGACCAGCGGGTGCAACGAAATGGTCACCGATCCGCTTGTGCCCGCCGCGGCCATTATGTTTCCCTGCGGCTGCTGCTGCGCCTGTGTGTCCGAAGTGGGATCCTGTGATTTGCTCGCCCCGCCGGAAGAGGACGACGTGCTCGGCTTGGCCGCCATGTCCACATCCACTTCCATTTGCTCCATAGTGCCGGTGAGTTCTTAGTAAATCGCAGTTAAGCGGTAAAAAAAGTAAACTCGAATTCTTTTTGTTTGATAAGCTCCGGCTCTCCGCCAGTGTGACCGCGGATGGGTTCGTCAAAAATACCAAATCGGTGGGGGGAGTGAAGCGGAGACTCAAACCATGGCCACATATCTCATATTTTGGCTACTCCTAAAAAGGGGTTTTTGGGAAATTCCTTTAAAGATTAACGGCGTTGCCATGTTGCTTAGAAACGGTAACTAAAAAAACCTTATTTCAAATTCAATTAGCCTCGGGGATATAATGAATGAAAAATGTTGAAAAAAAAACAAATGTACTAGGTATTTTTTATTCATATACCTTTTTTATTCTGGAACTGGTGAATTAGGTATGTCAATTTTTTTCTTTATCATATTCTTCATGTTCTCTTACCAAGAAAAAAATTGCAAAACAAACGCGTTAAGTCATCAATTTCGGTATTTCCGATTTCAATCGGATCTTCTATCTTGAGTTCTTGAGATTTATTAATCTCTTCCGTAACGATGACCCTGCCATTTCACAGCTCTGATCTCCTAGTGAAAAAACAGAATAAATAGAAACCCACTTGATTGTTTTTTTTTTTCGTTTTTTATTATATTTATCTTTTCTTCGTTTTTATTTGTCTTCGCTTTTAATTTCGTGCTCGCCGTATTTTTTCGTGCGAATGTTGTAAGTTAGACTAGTTGGCTTAGGACTACAAATATTTAACATTAACATTTAACAGGCTATTTACAAATCGTCTATACACAATTACAATAATCACTTAGCCTATGGGGGATTAAAACTAAACGCGCTTCGTTTGTGAGGTTCTAGAATTAGGCGACTTACACATTAGGCAGATCTCGAAAATTGACCCAGTTTGTTGTAAGGTTTTGCTTACACATAACACTTGCGAATGCAGCAGCCACAGATGATGGGGATTTGCGAAGCGAAGCAGTCAAGCGGAGCTAGCTGGAGGCTGGTTGGATACTTATTCATTATAATCAAGTTGAAATTGCGCATACGCCCCGTGTTCTTCATATTCGATCGATCATCGGCAGGCGGACTTCCACTGTGTGTGTGTGTGTGTGTTTGTGCATGCTCGTGTATTTATGGCTCTTAAGCTTAGCTTAGCGTTAGTTGAAACCTTTGTACCAAAACTACTTCCGTTCCGTCCGTTGCCATCACCAATCTGATCCGTGTTTATACAAAATTTATTTCGCCGTTTTGCGGACAATCCCTGGAAGCACTTTCCGTCTACATATTCTGATTTTCATTCTGATTCTGACTGACTTCGGTTTTAGTTGGCTTTAAGCTTTTGCGCTAACATTGCACTGTTGTTGTTGTTGTTGCTGTCCGCCTTGCAGGGCGTGGCATCAAGTTGCTGCTGTTTCAGCTGCTGCTCCTGCTGCAGTTGCTGCTGCGCCGCCTTGGACTTCCTGTAGCTCTGCATATAGAAGTTCATGAAGAGGCAGAAGAAAATGGAGGCATTCAGCAGGAGCAGCGCAGAGATGAACTTGGAGAACTGGCACTGGTTGCTGAAGAGGGCGCGGAGGGTGTGGAAGATGCACAGCACGAACTGGGCCTGGAACGTATTGCAATTTAGGGTCATTGGTGAGTTTTCATATATTTCAAAGTATGTAAAATGTATATTTTTTTTAACTTTATACATATTTTTCAAAGTTTGAATTACTTTGGTATCTTTAATCATAGTAATATATATTCTGTTTTATAATTGATTAAATTTCATCAATAAAAAAACAAAAGCCTGGCTGGAATGTGAAAAATGTTTTTTAAAGGACATAATATACATTGGTGAGTTTTCATATATTTCAAAGTATGTAAAATGTATATTTTTTTAACTTTATACATATTTTTCAAAGTTGGAATTACTTTGGTATCTTTAATCATAGTAATATATATTCTGTTTTATAATTGATTAAATTTCATCAATAAAAAAACAAAAGCCTGGCTGGAATGTGAAAAATGTTTTTTAAAGGTCATAATATATATTTGCTAGATTTAGAACTACTCTGGTAATTCCAATTTTTTAATTAATTGAATTTATATGCTATTAGAAATTTCATAACAAAAGCCTGGCTGAAATACATATATATTTATAAATTGGCATTACAATTTTTAATACATTTTATAATTATGATTATTATAATTAATTTTTTTAGTTTTTAAACAACTAAAATTTTTTTTTTTAACAAAAACCATTTCTCTTGTTTTTTAACTTTCAAGATCGGGCTTAAAGTTATAATTCCTGTAATTTCAAGATTTAATCATTTAATTAATATTTTTATTCATTTTTTTGTTTGGTTTTCCCTTTTAAAAACAAAGTATTGTGTGACCTAGATTAAAGTACACAGATAGATTAAGGCTGGCAAGCTTGACCTCGTGTTTTTTTATAGATGATGTAATTTTTAGCTTTCCCGCACAAAGATAAGTGTTGTGTACCATTTAATCATACATATTAAATAGTTGTGGGAATCACATTACATCTTAACTTGTTACGCCTGAATAGTGGGAAAGTTCTGAAGAGAGTTTCCGCCCCTTCTACCAACCAGGTCATAATCAGAGCTCAGCTCAACTTGACCCCACCTCTTTCTGGTCATTGGCGCTGTCGAAGGGCAGGTAGCTTGTTTCGTTACGGAAGTTGTAACGTCATCCAATTAGCCGGGCCGCTTACTGCCGAGTCATTACTGGCTTTTTTCGCTTTTTTGCAGCCCAGGTTACAGCTCTTTGAATGCGGCTAATAAAGTTAAAACTGCTGGCAGTGGAGAGCACCCTTGAGCTGGGCGGGCAATCAAAAAGCACTCTGTGTGCGGCTACATTGTGCACACATTGATTGCAATTATTAGCCGGAGTGTCTGATATGCGGCTATTAACCAGCCATGATACTAGTATCTATGTTTAGCCAATTCCAACAAGCTGGCTCTCGATTGGCCTTTTGCCGACCCCTTGGCGCGTGTTATAGAGCCCAGATCTTAGGTTTGTATTTGATCTTGATCGATCATAAGGTATTTAGATGGCACCCACACACTCCAACGACATTGAAGAGTTAGTAAGCAACACTCAGAACTCAAGGTATGTCAAATGGCTTGCCTTTAACATTTAAGTTCGATTTAATAAAGAAATGTAAAGTAAAGCAACCAAATTTGCTAAATGTTTAGCACAAGAATACTGCAAAATCGGTTACGTTATGTTTTTTCTTAATGATTAAAATGATTTAAACTCAATAAATTAAAAGATAAAAATAAACTTTAATCTCAGCAAAATTGTTCATATATCAAAGCCTGTTTTTAAATAGTTTGATGCTTTCTTATTCCCTACTTACACATGAATTTAAATTGTTCCTTTTTAAGGTAAAGGTATTAAAACGTAATTTAATTCAGTTCATTATTTAATTTTTAAAACATTTGTATTATTTATTTTGAGGAATAATAAATCTCGCAGTGTAGTGCATTTATTGCCTTTGAAGCTAGCCTTCTGCTCTTTATCTTTTATGGCTATGATCTTTTTAAATATTTTTCTCTGTGCAGCCATCTCGACAGTGTGCAGTTTTCGGTGACCTACAAAATATTACGCTGGCCAGCCAAGCGCTGCAGGTTTCCATTACCACTGCAGCAACAAATGTTGGCCAAGATGGCAACTACTACTACTAACTAACTGCAACTGCTGGCCAAGTTTGCGTCGCTTGCGGTCCGTTGAAAGCCAACGTCGACGCTTAAATGCTTCATTGCACGAGACACGAGTACCGTGGGCACTGCACCACCAAAATGATTGATGGAAATGGGGCAATTGTCGGGTTTATGGGAAGTCCGGCCAGTCGAATGGCCGACTGGCTTCCTTATAAACGTTGCCACTTTTAAGAGTAACTTTGCCGCTTTAAAATCAAAATAGTTTCTAAACGTTTCTTTGTTTTCCTCACACATTATGCATGCAATGATTATAACTCAGCCACAGAAGCCTCTTCCATAAATTGTTTGTAATTAAATGCTAAGTTATTTTTGCACGTTTTTTAAGAGGTTTGACCTCGCTGCCGCTTGTTTGTGGTTCGTGCCGGATTTTCTTTGATCATTCTAAGTGAATAGATTTCGAAATTTATTCATGTTCTCGAGAAACGGAAATAACGTTTGTTTCTATTTGATTTATTTAAAAAAAGGCAAATCAATCTTAACATTAAAAGGTTAAATATTATATTAATCACTGACCAGTTGAAACCCTTGCTTAATGCTCTTAAATCGAATTTATGTTACCAAATTCCTATCGATATTTGAGTTTAGACAGGCCAACTTGGCGAGCCCCTTTCTAACATGTTTTTGTGTTACAGTTTTTAGATTGTAGCTACACTGACCTTTAAGATCAATTATTTTAATTTAAAAATGTTTATTTGTTCTTAGCCACCGGTTTAAAAATACCCCTTGTTAAATAACCTCCTCATTAAAAAGCAGGTTTTTTTAAACACAAAAAAATCCAATGATCTTAAAATAAGAAAAAACTTTTAGTATTGAAATAAAAAAATGGTTTCTGTATAGACAATATAACTGTTAACTATTTTGTTCATTAAAATAATGTTTTCTGCACACATTATTTTATTGCTGCTATAGTAAAATTTAAGGCACTTTAAATTAGATTTTTTCATAAAGAATGTAAGCTATGTCTATGTTGACCTCCTTTTTCTACACAATCCCAATCTAGGCATTGATCATTGAACATTTAAGTGTTACTGCTACTTTTCTCACACATATTGAATAGATGCTTTTGTACTTGAAATAAAAGAATTGATAGATAAAAATAGATTTTCTCGAATATAAATGTAAACTCTGTTAACTCCAGCAGACCCACTGTTCCAGCACAATAATTGTTGCACAATCGTGGCATAGATCATTGAACGTTGGGCTGCGTGTGCCGGTAACTAATTGGTAACTCGTACCGGACAAAAACAAAAGCCCGTTGCACTTGCAACATGACTGATCTGAACTGGCGACTTGGATCGCCGCACCGGCATTCGAACAATTGAAAGTGGTAGAGGTAGATGGCTGGTTGACTTTTACCCAGACACCGAGTCAAGTCGTGCCAAATTGCATGAGTAGTCTGTCCAGTGGTCGCCATCGACTGGTCCGGACTCCGGAGTCGTGGATTTGTGCATATATAGCCGACATAGACACTCACCCAGTTGGTGTGGCAAGTTCGTCGCGGTGCTGGACAAAAGTGAACGCTACCGCTTCGACTGCCGCTCAACATTCATTGCCGCAAAACGGAACGAACACGAAATGATAATGTAATCGAAACTGGTCGGATCGGTCGGTTTGGTTTGGCTGGTCGACTCAGCTTGGTTGGTGCCGCAAATGTGGAAATTGGAATTGAAATTGGCCTACCCCGGCAAAGTTGCGGGGATGTTGCAAGAAATCGCGGCCAGCAAGCCAAAATGTTCGCAGCACACAGGCAACAGCAGCGGCAGTCGGCCACTCGGAATCGGAACTTAACTTCAACTTGGCTAAAATGTGGAGCGTGCGATATGTGGTCAGGCGATTTGTGGCTAATTGGCCGGCAGGAACGGAACTGAAAGAATCCAGCTGGTTGCGCAGGCCACCAATTGCCAACACTTACTGTAAGCCAACTGGAATCACAACAACCGGCATGACAGATAAATTATCTACAAGATGCGCGCGCATTTTCATTAAAAATATCGTTTGCACAACGAAAAAACTTGAACTTCTATTGACCAGAATTAGATCAAGTTTAAGCCATATCATCAAAAAAACTTCATGATTTTTTAAATACAGATGCTATTGCATTAACTTACACTTTAATTAAGAAATTAATAATGTCTCAAAAGGAAGTATACAAAATTTAAAACATTTTCATGCTCTGAGCATTAACTTCCTAAGTTTATATATCTATATATTTATTTTTTGAATATTACGAATTTAAGAACAAATATGCAAATGTTTTGAATGCAATTTATATGGTAAATATAGATTTCAAAATGTTTTTTTCCTGTGTAGGGCCCGGCGAGAAGCAATTGGAAAATCATCAAAACAACAATAACAACAGCAATCAAAGTAAACACCCTATTATATACATATGTAAAATTTCACAGACGCTTAAAACGGGCACAGTGAGCACTGCATTTCACCGACAAATACGTACATTTAGTTGTTCGTTAAAAAATAAAATATTTTAATTGGAAAATTGTACAATAAAAATGGTTTTAAGTCGTTAAATTTTCTATAACTTTGGGTTTAACATTAAAACATGCACAATTATTGAGAGTCATACAAAATAGTAGATGTTTTCAATTATAAATTTAAAGGCAAAAATTTAAATTGAAATTTTGTTTGTTAAAAAAATGCTTCAAAGGAAAGGGGTTGTGCTTTTTTAGGTAAAAATCTTGGACTTACATTGTCTAATAAAATATGATAAACACTTTGAGGCTTTAAGTCAATTTTTTTAGTTGACCTTTTTAGAATCCCCACTGCGTGCCTCCTGCGCAACTGTCGGAATAAAAAATAAAAAAACCTGTGCTTGCTACTTAAGTTAGTCACCGAACGTTTGACAACTCAACTGTGGAGCAGAGCTTCAAGGCGATTCACTAACTAGCTGCTACGGCAATAACAACTACAGCATTGAATCTCGATTCGAAGGAGGCCAGCCACAGCAGAACAAACTAAACTTGCCATATTTCCATGCGTTTCAAGAATTTCGAAACTTTGAAAACGCGAGAGATACTCTAAGTATGTGGAAGGAAAAATAAAAGAAAAAAAACCCCAGTCGCAATGCAATGGAACTTATCTACCGGATTTGTTTGTTTTTGTTGGGCCTTTCAATTATGCGTAGCCACAAAAAATAAAGGCTGGCTAATCTAACACAATACCAAATTAGCAGCATAGAAATCAGATGGGAAAAACCAGAAATCAGACGAGAAATATCTAGATCACATGATTGGCGACAATCTTGGGATTCGTTTCGATTCGATTTCATTCACTTTTGCTTTTAGATCTTGATATATTGTGTAATCTTTCAGAATGTACAAAATATTGGCCTTTGGCCCCAAAAAAAAGTTTGGCTAAAACTTAGGCGCTTAGACAAACAAACCGGCGGAGTGGCATTTCGGCATTTTTTGGCTAATGCAAGTTAAAGTTAGAAGCATTGGCCAACATTTTATTTTGGCAATATAAACACGGATAGCAACTGGTCTCCATCGGAGGTTGGATGGTGTGCGTGCCTTTGGGCTCAAAATGAATAATGCCAATTTATGTGGCAGAGGCTGGCTGCGAGTCTATAAGTCTGAAACTCTGACTGAGGCACGGCTGGTCTTGGGTTTGCCGGTCTAACTGGTTTGCATTTTGTGGATTTTTAGCAGCTTCTTGGCCAAATCTAACAGGCAATTGCTGGCCAACAGCGACTAGCGACTAACTTCGATCTATGTCCGAAAAATACATTTCACACATGCCGCCAGCCAGGCGCAGACTTCTGAACAAGTTTCATTTGATTTTGTGGGCAGGTATCGGTATCTATGCTGGAACTGATTCCATTTTAATGAGCTTCAGCTCCAATTGTGGCCCCACCCCGTCGGTATAGTCTGCATAGTACTTACGATCTGCAGCTCGGTCATGTATTTCTTCCACCACAGGAACTTGGCGTACTCCGGTCCCATGGCGGCCATCATGTAGTAGAAGTACATGCACACGTGCACAAAGTTGTTCAGCAGATTCGGGAATGTGGCATTTCCACCTGCAAGAAAAATGATAGGATTGTATTAGGATAGAGATCTCTGGGGATAAATGCAATACAAAATAATATCCTAATCCTATACCCAATATTCGGGCATTATTTTAACTTATTTTGACAAACATGGCACCAGTAGAAGCTACTTTTGGTATAAATATTTTGGTATAGAAATTAAAGCCTGTTTTATGAGAATTGGATTCTTCTTTTAAGTTCTTTAATCTTTAATTACATAATACTATGTTTCTCCATCTTACTAAGTTATTGTATTTTTAGTTAGTTTTGGCAAATACTCTATAGCCCAAATAAAAGCTAATTTTGGTATGAGCAAATTATAAATTTAAGCAAATTTTATGAGGATTAGATTCACCATTTTATTGTATAGCCTTTTTTCGATTACAGAAATTAACATGTCTATCTTTCTATCTAACTTATGGTATTTCTAAATATTTTTGACAAATATCGCAACAATTTCGGCATGAAAAAAGTTTAAATTTAATCGCATTTGGTCAGAATTCAACTTGTTAACTTCAGAAATAAATAAGTAACTCACCCGCAAGGAACTTGACCAGCACCCAGGTCTCGAGGGGAGTCACCGAATGGTGGTACACGTGCAGCCAGGTGATCTGCGAGGACTTTTTGCGCAGCACGAAGAACATGGTGTCGGCGAACTCGGTTAGTTTGGACAGGTAATACAGGTAGCACAGGTTGAGCATCTGCCGGGTAGAGGGGAGATCAGTGCGGTTGACCTAGCAAGGTCGTTGTGCAATTCGCGCCCATCGCGAGCATCGAGCTTCGAGCGTGCCCAATTAGCGTAGAAACCGCAGAAGAACTTGCGCAATGACATTGACAAAGTTTTCGTTCCGACGCGTCTTGTTTAGTTTCGTTTCATGTTGTTGTTTTTGGAATACCCTTTTCGTTTTACATTTTCCGAGCAAAAGAATTCTGCTGGTTTGCAGGTGAAACGTTTGGGCGCACTCGGCGTATGCGCAATGTCAACAATGCTGACTTTTACGACTTCGCTAAGGCGCCGTGGACTTATGGAAATGATCATAAAACTGGATGACGGACGCTAATGACACTAGGGTCGAACGGAGTGTATTGACTTGTCTTTTGGGCTCGGCTGCTTTTTTGTATTTTTATGGACTTTTTGTCTTCGTTGCGGATGTGAAAACAATCAATGAATGAGTAGGAAAAGGTCTTGACTGGTCAGCGGATTTCACAGATTTTATGCTCCATTGATTTAAAGCGCAAACAAAGTCTAAGTACTATTGCAATTGCAGATAAACAGACGGCGGAACAAACTGGACTGTTTAGACCCGCTTTAAATGTTGTTAATTCGATTGTAACATAGTCAATAGTCAACGACCTTGAGGTTGTGGCTGTCTCTAAATCGTTATGTTTGTGTAATACTGAAGGCTTTAAGTGATTGCAATGCATATACTCTAAAAAGAGTCTTTAATTTGTTTATTGATTTTACTGATCCAAGGAAAATTGCAAATATTTAAACTTTAGGTGTCTTCAGCCTATACACTTTACTCAATGATTCAGATATAAGTTTAAGTCGAAATAAAAATATTTTTTAAATTTATAATACCGAAAATAAAGCATTTGTAAAATTGTCTACGATTCTTAAAAATTTTTTAGAGCATTCTTAGATCGGTTTAAGAATAACACTCAGTTTATTTCTGCTACTGTTACAATTTTACGAACATTTAAAAGCCTCATTTGCGGTGCACGTACAATTTGACTTGAAATTATGCATTTAACTTTAAACTCTCATTACACAATTATTTATTTAATTGTTTTTTCAGCATACTTAGTGGAGGTCTGGGAAAAAGAGGAGACAATCGATGTGGAGGTGTAACAGATGGCTGACCAAAAACCGATTAGACATTGACATAAACATAGAATTTGGATTAAGAAGCCTGTTTCCATCCGACCGCACTTAATTGCCCGGCTCAGTTTATTTGAATGTGAACTTTGTGCCATCGCCGAGGCATAATTAAAAGATTTGTAGTTGTTTTCATTTCTGCGCAATGACTGGCCAAAAAACTTCGTTTTGGCTTTGAGCTGAACTTTACGGGCCAACTAAATGGCTCTTGAGGTTGGCGAAGTCAGTGAGTCATCGGAATAAAAATAAAGGCAACGAACTTGCTAGCCAAACAGCGGAAGACGAAACCGGCAAGGTGAGGCGAGAAAAAACCGAAAAAAAAACAAAGCAAAGACCGGCCAAATGACAAATGCCAAATTATATAATAGAGACCATAAACTCCTTAAGTCCACGCGTGCCTCTCGAAATAGAAATTTGATTGGGGATGAGCGAGTTTCAATCGATTTAGAATGCGAATGCGAATGCGATTGACCGGTTGCGACCACTTACCCGCTTTGAGCTGTCTGAGTCCGAGTAGTCAACCGGTTGGCACTTCAGATTGTAGTAGTTCAGCCAGCCTGCCATCAGGTGCTGTTTTGTGGGGGGAAATGGAAATGGAAGTGGTATTAGTTAGTGGACGAGCACTATGCTAATTTCCCAGACCGAAACCTACCTCGTAGAACATATACCCACTGAGGGCCACCTGGAAGGCGTTGTAGATGACCAGGGTGCGGCGCAGTTGGAAGGGCTTGCGATCGCGCATGAAGAGGGGTCCGATGACCAGAACCCAGGACAAGTAGATGGCCACCATGCCAAAGGTGAACATCGGGTGCTCCATCAGTGGGAAGCGCTTTGCACGCGGATCTGCGAAAGCATCGAAACCTCTTATTAATCGCCGCAATTTTGTTTTTAATTAATTTCAGCTTTCGGTTTTGCCTATGCTAATACTACTGCTTTTATTTGCATTTCATTAGTTGGGGATAGTAAAGCCATTCAATTGATACCAGCTGAAAGAATCGTGGCTAAATATAAAAAACCACTTGTCACTGACAGCGTTTTAAGTATCAGCACAATTGCTTTTCTCTGGCCAATAATTGTAAAATATGTGACTTTCGCATTCCGCTAAGCGAATTATTCCACATCTTAATAAACATCTACGTCACAGCACAATAACTTATACGGAGGAACCCCCCAGAACTGAAATGGCAATTGATTGTGTATTTAAATAGAGCAACTTTTCCATGTCGTTTAGCTACTTTACTGCGGCAATCGATTTAAGATGTTGTTATGATTTATTTTTCATCTGAACAGTATTGCAAATATAAAGTTGTAGTTGTTTACTGCAAATATTCCATTGGTAGCTGGGGATCACTTATTATGCCGCGATTTCTTGACCTGCTACTCTGCGAAGTTAGCTGTGCTAGGAGCTACACTGTCAACCGTATATCTTTAACCAATAATAAGAATATCTGCTTACAATAAGAATTCTTTAGTTCAACACATTCTTTTTTACAATCATGCACTTAGAAAATCACATAAGTTTTTCTTTTAGAACTTTTAGTTATTTCATGATTTAATGATATTCATTTTAAACGAAAAACTAACTAAATAAAACCACAAATTTACGCTAGATTTGTATTTTTGCCAGAATTAATTAATAGTGATTTTAGTTTATTCTCTATAGTTTTTCTCTGTATGTTTCTAAGAAACAACTGCAATTCTTATAACTTGAACTTAAGTTTAAAAATTTGTTTTTATATTTCTGATAAGCTTATTCCTTTTTAACTAATTTTATTTTCTTTTAAATAATATAGACAACAGTTCTTCAAAATCTTAACAACAAATATTATTTTATTTGTTTCTTTTGAGATTTTTTTTTAAAGTGTAACCTGTTTTTAGAGAAAAGTGATCGCAAAATATAAAGTAAAGTCACCCCAAATTTGTTCGTCTTTTTTTTAGTTTAACGACTTGCTAATATTTCAAGTTCGTGTCCTAAGTCTTTTGTTTGCAATCCCCAAATTTTATATTTCTCAAGTTTGTGTTCTAAGTCTTTTGCTTACAACCAAAGGCATGGAAAGGTTTTACCTCGTAATCATAATTTTAGCAAAATTTAATCTATTTTCTAACCCCATTTACTATCACTTAACCAAAAATAAACATTATTTGCACAGCTTTTTTTGGTATCTGCCATTGACCTTTAACCGGTGACTTTTCTCATTGCCAGGAATGTGAATGTATGAATATGGGGCAACGTCAACAAGTGTTTATAAAAACGAAACACAAATTCAGTTCCTAGAGGCAATTGCTATAGTGCCTAATAAATACATGCTCAGCTGCACACGGCAAAAACAAAGTCGTCGATGTCGACGGTCGCTTCATAAAAATGTCTAAGATAAGCAATGTAAATACATTTTAATTACGTTAATAATTGTCAAAAATACAATTGACTCTGCCAAGGTCGCCATTTAATACGCACATACACAACAACACACACAAGAAACCTTTTTTAATTGTCCTAGAAGTTTTTTGGCTGAGCTTTTGGCTTCGTCTGTTTACTTTTTTTTGCTCTTTTCATATTGCCTTTTCTTTTTTTTGAGTGTTTTTTTTTCGTTTTCTACCGTTTTGTTTTCGTTTGGTTTGGCATTTTGGTTTGTTACGATTTGCAAGCCATAAAAAATGACAATTTCATGGCAATTCGTCATTTTGATGGACCTATAATTTAGTCGCCTGATGCCGATGCACTCTATATGAAAAGCAGACTGGCAGTCAGATCAGCACTTGACACCTACCACCGTAATCCTCTTCCACCAATTGGTAGTAGCGCTGCACCAGGCCCGTGTAGTTGCGCGTTATGTGATGGGTCTTGAACTCATCCAGCGCGATATTGGCTATCTCCACGACCATATCAAATCGCGAGCTGCTGTTGTAGTTATGGTAGTTCATACTCATGATGACAAGCTTTTCTCTGTTTCGACTCCTGGCGGTTAAATATATCCAAAACTCAGCTACGCTTATGTTATATGGTGTTTTTTATTAAAGTTCTTTTTTTTTGGTCAGAGGCTCGCCGCAGGATTTCGCATGCTGCGCTCAAGCCTGTTGTTGTTGTTGTTGAAAAATCACTTTATAACGCTCAGAAAAATGCACTTTTCGACTCGCTGAATAGCTATATATTTTATTATTGAATTATGGAATCAATTGCGTTTGCTGTAGCCGCGCAGACTTGGCTGGATTCTGCCACCACACCGTAGGAATGTTTATGCTCAACTGAATCTAAAACTTCTCAGCAATCACAAGATAAAGTAACTTTTTCGCAGCGCCAGCGGAGCAGAGCAGTGGCAGCGGCAGCGGCAGAGGCAGTGGCAGCAGAAAAAAAAAACGCTGCGATCACGACGCTTGTGCAAAATATAGCCACAACTACAAATACCAGATATAAAGCTAAAGCTTAAGCCCGACTTCGGAAACTCAACGATAGAACAACGGAAGTTTCGTTCAGTTAGCGCCGCACTGCATGCAATTTTTGGTATCTGCGAGTAACTGAGTATCTGTGTTGGCCGCAAATTCATGTCCATATGTTTGTGTGTGAGTGTGCTTGGCCCACTGAGTCGCTTTCGAGTATTTTCGATTTTTTAGCATGTTCCGTTTGGCATTCAGCATTCAACACGGTGATGTTGATACTGATGCCGCTGGTTTGAGCGATGAACTCGCTTTTTATAGGTCAATGCACTGAGCTATGGCTAGGAATCAAATAGAAATTCATCTGGCTGCAGTAAGAAATCTGCAAAGATTTACCATGTTGGGTAAAATACGTAATTAATTAACAGCCTAAGCTTTGGAAGAAAAATTCATATTTGTTCTGCGTCTTATATAAAAACTATACAAGTGAAAACTATACATCTGAATTTTAAAACATTTTATTAAATACAACTCTTTAATAAAAACAATATCTATGGAAAGTTTTATTAAAGTTGTTA